TATATCAGCCAATATGAAAGATAGTAAATTGATACTCTAGGCTGATAAAGCACTCATAAGCAGCCTCAAAATGAGTTGCCACGTGACGTGCATTAAACTAGAAAAATGTTGCAGCCCCTACCGCCATCTTGGAATTTTATACTCACTTTTACGCCTAAATATATATTTGCATGCATTAATTTCATCAACCAAAATTTCAGCTTGCTAACTTCCTGCTTTTCATGTTGTGCTGATCAAACGTATTCCTCTATCCGTAAAGTAGTACTTGGGCTCCCGAATCACACAAGTAACTACTTTCCAACCTACAAGTAGATATCACGGCAAAGCATCTTTTTTTTTGTTTTTTATTTCATAAAACGATCAGGATTTCGCGTGGATTTTAAGTTATTTACTTTATTCCTTATATTAAAATTTAAATGAAACTTCAAAAATAAACTACTAATGCTTTGTCAAGATATCTTCACACCACGCAAAATTTATGTAGTTAGAACTACTTTTACGAATAGAGAATGTGAAAAACTAAAAATGTACCACTGACTAAATCTTTTATCTCAGTGTCTGAGAATGATAAATATACTATTTGATATTTTGAATCGATTTGTTTATCACAAAGCAATAATTTACACTTTATTTACATCAAAATCATTAAATCTCCAATTGTTTTGTTGAGACCATTCCTCAACAGATCTATAAAAATTACGAAACTTCTCATCTGTTCTTTTTTCAAACGATTGCATTGAACGCCTGTGTATAGGTTTAATTGATAGCCGGCGTCCTAAAATAATAATGGGGCTACGCAATGCTAAATTTGTGAGATATTTCTAAAACGAGTTGGAATACTGAATATTCTATTCGTGTAAGTATATTTTGAAAAGAAAAACGGACACGGGCCAAGGAATACAACTATTGATTACCTATAGTGTCTCTTCACATGGAAATTGCAGACAATATGCTCTTCTTGTGGTGAATTGATATGTAATAGAGTAAATCAGAAATTGGACAAACCTTTTTGTTCTTCAATCTTCATTGAAAATGAGACCCGAACTGTAGACAATATGCTCGTGTTCTGGTGATATTTGATACTGTGAATTGATGAACTTGGAGGAGCTTTTTGGTTCTTCAATGGATCTGAGACAGAAATTGGGCCTCCTCTACAGGAAGCCCATTTAAAGAAACAAGATAAAGACGTCATACATCCAGCGGTCGCTTTTAAATCACCATCCACGTTATCAACCAATAATGCAATTGATCAAATGGAAATAATGCCAAACCTCTCGAAAACATGTTATAATCATCTTCAACTGTCATGAATTATGAATTTGTTTAAAAAATCGGAGACTCCTTTTCTAGCTTCCTTCTGGTCTTTATAAAAAATTGGTTTTGTTGTAGACCTTAGTACGCAGAAGATTCCACAGGTCCTGAGGTGCTTTAAAATCTATTTATCTCTTAGCGATTATTAGAGACAAAACAATGGTATCAAGTAGATTGACTCTGTATTTCCCACGCAATTTTGGACAAAGGTACTTTGAACATGCAGTATCGAAGCCACCTTTTGAGCGCTCTTGAATCTTTATCATTCGATGACTGAAAATCCTTGTACCTCGACATAAGACTATTGAGTAGATTCAGTGAAAACTTCATAGTTGATTAAAAAAATGAAATTATGGACTCTGATCTTTACTATCTTTACTATTCGCTGGCTATTGAAACCCTTACAGCTGGTGATGTTACAGAAAAGGTATAACTGAAATGATATTTTTTTTGTTACAACCTCTGACTTATGTGGTGCATAATATATGGACGCCTTTCGTGCATCCTGGTATCATTAAATCGTTGCTCGATGATGCTGTGGCTGTGCACCGCGTCGCGTCGACGTTGCTGAATTCGGATCGGATCCTTCGCAGGTAAACGTACATCGCGTGTTCCTGAGGAGGCGGTATTGCTGGAGTCAGAACTAAATATTATTATGCAAAATATGTGTCTCACAGGTGAGGACCGGGATCAGAAATTAAATAATGCAGCGTATCTTACCAAAGAGGCAACATTTACAGCCTCATATACGCTACCCAACCTTCAATTTACAACCTCTACAAAAATTTATCTGAAGTGATCAGGAGTTTCCAAAACGTCAAAAAATGAAGGTAGGGCTATCTTTAATCTTTCGTTATTTACCCGTAGCTTCGCCGCCAGTCGACTGATTTTCAGAGCTGTTTTGTCATGGGCTTACTAGCAACTTTTTGTGCAAATTTCGTCAAAATCCGATGAGTACTTTCCAAGTTAAGCGGGACCTACGATTAGCGGAAAGACACATATTTTTTTTACTCGTTCTTTTTTTCAGGTGGTTGAGCCGTTACTGGATCGATTTTCAAAAATTATAAAGCTTTTTCATTCTTGGAAATTACATGAACTTTCGACCGCTACTTTCCAAGTTATAGTGGGATCAAGGATTAACGGGCAGACATACAATAAAAATTACCAAGGTTATATAAACATGTTTTTGCTCATTTCTTTTTTGAAGCCGCCAATAACACTGATAAATACAGGATTTGTGAATTTTTGGGTTTATCTTATGTATTTTGAGACCCTTAAATCAAATCTAAGAATTTTTCTATCACTCACAGATATTCGGTAACATCTACTTTTATGAATTACAATACGTAAAATCTCATATTGCTGCATTTCTCGGCGTTTATACGATGACGATGACACACATATATAATGTTAAGACCTGTCTATTCCTGTTTATTATATGCGAGCTCTATTTTTAGAGAGCATATTGCTATAAGAGCAGGCGAGTCAATTACGTTTTCTGTGTTGAAGGGTACTGAGATGTTCTGAGTACTGTTAATTTTTGCTAAAAAGGTGTGTTGTTTTTAGTTTATTGTGATCGAGACTAGCTTTATGGACAATGGCTAGAAATTGTGTAAATAGTGCGAACAGTTTTTGTTATATGTGCGAAGAGCTAACTTTTAAATCCCAAAAACGTACTTTTACTCCCCTTGTGTTGAAAGCATACCAACTTTATTTTGGAATTAAAGTTGGCGACCAAGATAAATTATGGGCCCCTCATAATGTTGTAAGACTTGTGTAACGTTGTTAACAGGTTGGTTAGTAGGCGACAATCGTAAAATGTCCTTTGCGGTACCAAAATGGTTTGGAGAGAACCGAGAGACCAAACTACTGATTGCTATTTTTGCCTCACATATATTAAAGGTATTGGACCAAAATCGAAATATACTCGTACAGTTAAGTATTTTAATTAACCATCAGCTTTGCGGCCCGTTAAGTATAGTGATGAAATTTCTGTCCCAGTTCCACCAGAATCTTGGTATTTGGATGAAAAAATCGATTCTACCGATTCTGAAAGTAATGGTACCGAAAGCGTAAAGATTTCCGATCCTTCGTTTGACCTGCCAGGATGTTCAACAGCGCCGCACTTGATCACACAGGGCGAACTTAATGACTTAGTTCGAGAATTAAATCTGTCAAAATCACGGTCAGAACTTTTAGCGTCAAGATTAAAAGGATGGAATCTTCTCCACGGTGATGTTAACATTACTTTTTACCGAGAACGGCAACAAGACCTCTCACACTGTTTCCGTCAAGAAAGCGAGTTGGTATATTGCTTCGATGTCAACAATTTGTTTGCAGCCTTAGGACTGAACATGATTCATATGATTGGCGCCTGTTCATTGATTCCTCTAAGCTTAGGTTAAAAGCGGTATTGGTACACAACGGTAATAAATATCCATCTGTACCGATAGCGCACGCAGTTCATATGAAGGAATCATATGAAAATAGCCCTTCTTCTTGGAATGCAACTGGGATTTACCAAATACTGTTGTTTTCTTTGAGAATGGGACAGTCGTGCGCGAGATCGTCATTATGAACAGCAGGAGTGGCCACTACGTCAGGTGTTAACTCCGGGCCTCAAAAACATTGCTCATGAACCACTATTTGATCCCAAAATCGTGTTACTTCCACCTTTGCATATTAAGTTGGGACTGATGAAAAATTTCGTGAAAGCTATGGATCGAAATGGAAGTGGGTTTCTGCATTTAAAACAAACATTTCCGAGTCTTCGTGAAGCAGAAATTGAAGAGGGCATATTTATCTGTCCACAAATACAGAAAATCATGAAGGATGATGTATTTAACAGTGCTCTAAATGAAACTGAATTACGAGCTTGGAATGCTTTTAAATCATTTACTGGAATTTTTTTAGGCAATGTGAAGGCGGATAATTATAAACATATTGTGAGTGAACTAATTAATGCTTATAAAGGAATGGGATGTAACATGTCTCTGAAAATTTACTTTTTGGATTCTCATCTCGATTTTTTTCCGAAAAATTTAGGTGCGGTAGGGGATGAACATGGTGAACGGTTCCACCAAGACATTTCTGCTATGAAAAAACGGTATCAAGGCAAATGGAGTGTCAATTTGCTTGCTGATTATTGCTGGACATTGCTAAGAGATACTTAACATAACGCCGTAAAACATCGACAACAACATTCTGAGATTAATGTCTAGTAGTGTTTATTAGCACTCTTACACCCATATCCTTATATTTTACGAGTATAAGCAGCAAATAAAATGCCTTATTGCAAGAAAACCGTGGGTGATAGAAAATATGACTACTATTTCCGGCTTTTTGGGTACGTTTTACATAATAACCACCATGTTTTGTCCATGTCACAAAAAATTATTTTAATTTCGTTCACCAATGTAATTGGACGTTTCATATTTTAACTTAGGCTTGTCGAGGACTTTATTTGATCCGATGGTTTAAAATGTGTGACTTTGGAGCTGTCTTCTTGTAATTATGATAAGAGACTTGAATCTATTGATCAAGATTTTCTTAAACCTCAAACCTAATTGAGTCAGCAGTCGGCAAATTGAATAAAAGCACACATAAGCGAATATGGAGAAAATTACTCGGGAAATTATAAATACGCTGCCGGCAATAGTCCGACATCAGCGTATGTGAATATCGTCAATGGAATTATAAAATATGAATTTAATCTAATTAAAAGAAACCCGTAGTTCTGAAATTAGTAAGGATTCATCAGTCGTCTCCGATCCCGCGAGCCAGTTCTCGCCGATACGCGTGGCGCGGTGCGGATGAGTTTGATTGAGGTGTGCTGTGAACGACGGGGAAAGCCTAGGAACGTAGATGCTTCGTTGAAAAAATGGTGTGTAGACTTTTGTTTTATTTTTACTGAAAACACTGGGTGAAGAAGAAAAAATGGCAGGAAGTAGTATGCTACTGTTGAGACTGAATAAGGTCGAAGGAAGATTTTTCAAATAATACTATCGCGAGATGGATTACCCATATACAGTGGGTTGCTAAATTATTAGGACATCCTGATTTTATTTCTTTTTGGGCGTGCTTGGCTGCAGTTTTATGTGGAATGAGTGTGACTGGAGTTGCACAGCTTCACATAAGAACGAAAGACTCACAAACGGCAAATAGAATAATAATTGACATTCGTGCAGACTTCAGTTGTTTTGTCTAATAAAGCCGTTTTTTTCTTCATTGCGTCAGTCAACCAAGACCTTCACGGGACGACGACCTGTCAACCCTTTCTCTGCTTCACGGTTCTTCTAGAAGTTTCTAATTCCAGACTCCTGCATCGTTTGAGATAACAGCCTAGCGCTTTTCTCGATTTCGTAGTAAACATCCTGAATTTTTCTTCCAAAAAGTGGTATTATGCGTTCTGGTTCATTATTTTATTGCCTTTTCGCTTCATCAACGGCTGATCTAGACCCATGCTGAAAAAAGGATATAATTGAATTATTATCATTAAAATAATTTTCAAATTTTAGTTGCCTTTTACAGAATTTCGGGATTTACTTTAGGCCCTAGAAAATACCAAATGGATTTTAGGAGTTAGGCGCAAAAAGCCATAGAAAAAAATGAGAAATATGAGTTCACTCTTCAAGCTCATAAGATGATTAGAATAAGCATGTTCAATCAGAGGAACAACCATATGATAATGTTATATTTCGTCAGAATCATTTGCAAACTTGTTTTGATAAATACAGTTTTTTTTCGAACGAGCAGGAACCTCGATATTACTTTACCACTAAAGTGGCATTTTTCAAAAAATTGCGGATAAGTAATGATTTTTGAGGATTTTCATCGTTTAACGTTTAAAGTTTCGCAATGTAAAATTTCTTTTTGCGTCTGGTGTTGTTACTATACTATACGGTGTAAAAGGGGTTATCAAAACTGCAAAAATGTCGCTATTGCCTATCTGAAGTCGCAAAAAGAGAAACTTTGAACATTCGGGTGATTCCGGATGCGAATCTTTTGTGTACTACCATAGTTTCCAGTCAATCAAAATACGAGGGATGTCTTTTAAGTTTTTGCATATGGAAATAAAACAACACGGTTAGTAGTTTTAAATGACTATTGTTTTTCGAAGTATTCTCCACGAAGATTAATACACATCTGCATGCGCTCGAACCAATTTTCGAAGCACTTATTCCACTCGTTTGCTGGCAGATCCAAAACGGCATTTTTGGATGCGTCAACTGCTTCTTCTGGTGACTGGAACCTTTGACCATGCAGTCTGTTTTTAATTTTCGGGAAAGTAAAGAAATCGTTAGGACTTAGATCGGGACTATACGGGGGATGGTCTAATAATTCCACGTTTTCCTCCATTAAATACTGCCTTGTTTTTTGGGCTGTGTGCGAGCTTGCATTGTCTCGGTGGAGGATGATTCTTCTTTCGGTGTTGATTTTTCGAAGCTCGGTGATGACTTTTGGCAATCAAATGGTAGTATACCAATCCGCAGTAACAGTTCTTTGCTCATTAAGAGGAATTGTTGCAATATGACCCGCTTTTGACACAAATGTCGCGACCATCTTTTTCGAAACGGATGACTTGTTGGCTTCTCTTCACCTTGGAACACCGAATCAGCCGACTGTCGTTTATTTTCTGGTTTATAACAGTAAATCCACGATTCATCACAACTAAAAATGCTGTACACATTTTTTGAGTTTCCGGAATTGAAACGGTCAAGCATTTTTTGACACCTGGCTGCTTTCTGCTCTTCAGTCAACAGGTGGGGTATCCAATGAGAAACTGATTTTCTTACTCCTAATTCTTCATGTAAATTTTTTCGAATTGAGGTCTTTGAGATCTTCAAGGACGCCTCAGTCTCGCGATATGTCATATGTCTATCTTCAATGATGAGTTTGCGCACAGCATCGACGTCTTCCTGGGTGACTGCCGTTTTTGGTGCACCCACCCTGGGATTGTCGCTAAGACTCACCCGTCCACGTTTGAATTCTCCATACCAACGGGAAATTGTCGACTGATGTGGCGCTTCGTTGCCGAAAACAGACAGTAACTCAGCAAGACATTCTTGTTGCGAAAATTGTCTCTGAAAGTTGTAATAAATTATTGTGCGAAAATGTTCTCTGTTGAGTTCCATTTTTCTAATGACTTGGTGACACTTAAAATTCACTGTAGCACGTATTCTTGTGAAACTTTGAATTTAAGTTTACTAAAGAGTGAGGTTAATATTCAGTACTGGCGTTCGATCCGCGCGGCCTACTATGCTTCTATAAGCAAAACTTAAAAGACATCCCTCGTATACGTAACTTCGGGAGTGCCCCAAGGATCTGTTCTGAGGCCCTTACTTTTTATATTTTTGTAAATCACATAACATCTAATTTCATTTACAATTCACTTCTCTTTGCGTATAACTTGAAATTATTGTATGGTATAGACAACATTCGAGACTATGAATCAGTATAGGCAAATTGTGTAAATTTTCAGAATTGGTGTTAGGTAGTCACACATATTATTCCTCAATGTCAACAAACGCTTCAAGCTTTCTCACATCCGACTGATGATGAATCATACTTTGAATGGCATATCTCATAATGTCTAATAAGAAACAGTGAACTTAAAGACTTGGCAGCTATTTTTGATACTAAATAATCATTTGTCTCCCACATCGACAATGTAATATCAATTGGTTATAAAAGTTTAGATCCTATAATAAGCAGTTCTGACAATTCTGAGTTTGGCACAATGTTGACTTTATGTTTCCCCTTTGTACGATCTAAATCGGAGTACTGTTCCGTTGTTTGGAATGCACATTAAAAAATTAATTCAAACAATTCAGACAAAATTGAATGACGGTATGTCAAATATCTTTGGTTTAAGTTAGATAATATATATCCATCACACATCGTCCGTAATGATCTTTTCTTGAGTCGTTCCAAATATGTAAAGGCTGATGCTGATCTAAAAGTTACTTCCAAATTACTTAACAATGAAATTGATCGATATTTGGACTTGCAGAAGATTATATTCAGAAAAACAAATCTTGAACTTGACTTACCATGTCTTTTCCATCTTCTCGTCCCTTGTACGAATTATTTATTGTCACCTGACCATGTAATTTTCAATAATTACGATAATACATATACCAGATAGGATTGACATTTTTTCTTGTAGTATTAGAGCTTTACGGAGACATATTTTGTGATTAGCGTGAATTATTTGTAATAAAAATGTTTGACGCTTAATTTGTTTTCTCGGTGAATTGCCACTTTCATACTGTATTCGCTTATTTTGAATATTTGTTTTAAAACCTGTAGCTCATATAATATATGCCTCCTTGGAAAAATGTTCTATTTCAAATTTTGACAATAATAAACTTAGTTTGCTTCATCAAACACTCAAAGCAAATGGGCCTTATGAATTTTCAGTTTGTGGGCAAACATTCACTCCACATCAAAGTGGGCCTTCATAAACATGTTAGAAGCCATGAAAGCTTTTCGGGAGAACTAAAAACTATGACTATGACATAAGCAAAAATTATCCATATATGTTCAGTGAATGATCCAGCTATGATTAAGCGAGTCATGCAAAGCTTGAACCTAAATTCGTTTCAAGAAAGATATTCTTTACAGGACGCTTTGCACATAATCAAGCTAGCTTATGCCCTAATAATAGGCTTCTTCTTACTGATGATTTGGGTCTCCCTGATAGAATCTAGAGAATTAGATTCTGCACACTACCCGCCGTGTTTCTTCAACCCTCTTTGCACATGTTCAAAATCAGTACCTGATCTTGGAGTAGTACGATGTCTGGATGTGCATTTACCCAGGATACCAGAAACCGTAAATATATCCAAAGTGTTCATGTTACACTTAGAGGACAATGAACTGAGGACTATCGAACCATTCTTCTTACAAAGTACTGGTAGGTATCCAAATCATTGCAATATTTTTGAGGAATTTATCACCACGACACGAAATTCACAACATAGAAAACATCCATGTCCCAACTTGATCTCACAATCAGATAATCTATTCTGCCGCATTTGACATTTACCCGTTAACACCGTGTAAAAACTGCAGAGTCTCGGTGGCGTGGGGTGTCAGGAAGGATCCACCCTGAGAACCTGGTTCCTTCTAAAAACTGCAGGGTGGCCAATATATAACTGACTGATTTAAATTGCGCGTCATTTTTGATACATGCATTTCAGTAGGTGGCGCCGTAGTAGTTGTTTAAAGCACACGTGTCTAATTCATCATGGAACGCTACACGGTCCCACAGCGCGTCCGTATTGTTAAAACGCTTTACTTAAATAATGAGTCGAGTGTTGCAACGATTAGGAAGCTACGACAAGATTTCGGTCGGAATAATGTGCTCAGTGTCAACACCATTCGTCACTGATTTTCGAATGTCTTTAGGGGTTGTTATACTCTCATAACACTGATCAACAGCCAAAAAATATCCTAAATAAAATCAACAAAATATTACTATTTTTAATGTGCTAAAACCGGAATGAAACTTATTTTTTCAATATTAGTTCAAGTTTTAGAGATACGGTAATTATATGTGTTCCTGCTGTGACAGTGTCAATATACTGTAACTCACAAGAATGCACGTGCTACATTTTTATATTCGGCAAGGAAAGATGATGTAATTGGCATGATTGTGTTACGTTATACATACGTGTAGTTTATATTGTTTTATATTAGCCATTTTTTCCTCAGTTGGCTGACAGCGTTCATGCAAGATGTCTCGAAAGTGTGTAAACAATCCAGATCAGTTTTGTTACGTGTGTGGTGATGTGACTTTTGCGTCTCAGAGACGGTCTATTACTCCACTAATAACAAAGGCATATCAGCTTTATTTCGGTTGTAAACTAGGTGATCAAGACAAACAGTTGGCACCCCACATCTGCTGTAATACATGTGCTTCAAGTCTGAGGAGCTGGTTAAATGGCAAAAAACGGTCTATGCGCTTTGCTGTCCCAATGGTTTGGAGAGAGCCTACAAATCATATTAATGATTGTTACTTTTGCATGGTACCTTGTGTTGGACAAGCCACAGATATGTCCAAGAAAAAAAATCGCTTATTAACTACCCAAACATACCATCTGCGGTGAGACCTGTGCCTCACAGTGACAAAAATCCTATTCCAAAACCCCCAGAATCCTACACTTGCGAATCAGAAAACGAATCAGATCATGGCGATCGAGTGATTCGTCAGGAAGAAGATATGCCATCAACGTCAAGAGATCCTGATTTTATACCAAGCACGTCATGCCACCAACCGCACAAAATAACACAGTCAGAATTAAATGATCTTGTAAGAGATTTAGAACTTCCAAAATGTAAGACAGAGTTACTTGGATCAAGACTGCAGCAGTGGAACTTGTTAGAAGACGATGTTTCGGTATGTGTTTTTCGTAAACGCCACAAAAACTTAGAACCATTTTTCAATATGGAGAATAACTTGGTTTTCTGCAGTAACATTAACGGCCTACTGGCGGCTTTAAATATAAACTATAACCCAGAAGAATGGAGATTGTTTATAGACAGTTCAACATTGAGTTTAAATTCAGTGTTATTGCATATTGGAAATATTTTACCATCTCTTCCTGTAGGGTATGCAGTTCACATGAAAGAATCATATGACAATATGAAGTACCTATTGACATGCATAAAATACGATGAGCACCAATGGCATATTTGTGGCGATTTGAAAGTTGTTACACTTTTACTTGGGCTGCAGCTAGGCTACACAAAGTTTTGCTGTTTTTTGTGTGAATGGGACAGTCGGGCAACGGCACTTCATTACACCAGACAAAACTGGCCTGTTCGTCAATTCCTAGAGCCAGGTCAAAAAAATGTACAGCATATGCCATTAGTAGATTCGAAAAAAAAATTTATTACCACCACTGCATATCAAGTTGGGCCAAATGAAAAACTTTGTCAAGGCATTAGATAGAGATGGGTCAGCTTTTCAATACCTGCGTCAGAAATTTCCAAGACTAAGTGAGGCAAAGGTTAAAGAAGGTATTTTTGTTGGGCCACAGAAATATTTTGAAAGATACACAGTTTGAAAACACTTTAACAGGTATTGAAAAAACTGCTTGGAATGATTTCCGTCTGGTGGTCACTAATTTCTTGGGAAATAGAAAAGCTGACAACTATAAAACCCTTGTCAAAAATATGCTGTCATCGTATCAAGAGATGGGCTGTAATATGTCTCTTAAGATACATTTCCTACACTCACATCTGGACTTTTTTCCTGACAATTGCGGAGCCGTAAGTAATGAGCACGGCGAACGTTTTCATCAGGATATTTCAACAATGGAAAAAGGGTACCAGAGAAAGTGGAATCCTTCCATGCTTGCAGACTACTGTTGGACTCTTGGTAGAGATGCTCCAGAAACGATCCATAAAAGAACAGCAAAAAGACAGCGCATATAGTGATTCTTATAAGTATATAAATCATGTTACTTTTTTTAATATATCCTTAAAAATAAAAAGTTTTTTTCTAAACCGCATCTAATTTTTTTATTTCATTGTCATTTTTGGATTCAGCGCCCCAAAATTAACAAAGAAGTGCACTTTTCCCACAAGATACAATTAAAAAACTAAAATTTGTTGTTCAGTGTAATTTACAAAACCTATCCACGTGCAGAAGAATAAACGGCCCCTCCCAGAAGAATCCCTGCGGATGCCCATGTATAAGAGTTAACTTTAAGAGTTGTAACAAAGCTTTCAAATGAAAAATAGACGCCTCAAGGTCTACCATCTATCATTGATTTAATACTTTTTAGGTTTGTATAAAATTATCATCAGCAATAATCCTCTCTATGTAGTATCAGATGAAGCATTTATAGGATTAGAGAGGTCTTTATGGGAGCTGGAAATCAGCCATTGTAGCTTAACGAGGGTTCCTAATAGGGCAATAAGATATTTACAGAAGCTGAGGCTCCTGGATTTGACTGGTGAGTAAATCTTCGAAATAGTTTCTCATACACGGCGACTCTTTGGATTACCCTAGGAGCACTGACATGGTAGAGCAGTTCACCTCGCCGTCCATCTTGCCGAAATGCTTATCAGCGTCGTTACCAAAATCGCCACTTATCTCAAGTGGAAGCTGTCTGGTTTTTTAACAATGAAGATAACACATCGACCATGTATTCAAAATTTGCTCACTGAGAAAAAATAAATTAAACCATTTGAAATTTTAATCGAGTCAAAAAATGTATTAACTATGTGACAGCTAACAAGCGCAATTAATTTAATTAAGCTCCGATTTCTAAAACAGTTTACTTGAATCAATGAAACTAGTTTAACTGACTAAAAACGCAATCGTTTAAATAAATTTATTGAGCCGTTAACTTCGATTAAGTACAACAATTTATTTAAAATTTAATTACATTTATTTGTTTAATCAGTGTAGGTAAAAGTATTAGCCTAATTTTATTAATGAATTATTCTATTTATATTTGAAAGTATGTTATATATTGGAATTAACCTCAAATTACATTTTACTGAATGATGTGTATTATAACTGATCTAAGATATCAATAAATTTGGAAAACATGATATTGATATTCCCAAATCAAAATAAAGACTTCCAAATTTTGTAACCCTAACAAAATTCGATATTTTTATTTTCGTTGATTATGAAGTTATCCAATTATTTGCCTGATTGTCCAGAAACAGATTGCAATATATCACAATTCACTTGAAGCAATTCTCTCTTGAACCAACAAAGTATGAAAAGGGATACCTGAAGCTTACGGACCCTTGATCATGTGTTCAAAAGTTGTACTATTATTTCTAATGAAAAAAGAATATTGCATTCACACACATTCCACGCATTTAAATAGAAGGTGTCCATTTGAAAACTTCCCACCACGGATTTTTCAAAAAGCACTGATTAGAAGAAAAAACTCCGAGACACGTCAAAAGATTTCTCAAGGGGAACAACGTTATAACCAAAAACTTCACCGCCTTTCACCCTCGGCCCCCGGTTTAATCCCTTAAAAATTTCAAATAATAAGGGATATCGAATAATAGCTAATTTCAAAGGTGTTGCAAAGTGCTTTTTTTTGATGTTCGATTTTTTTCGAGAAAATTAGAAAAATCTTTACTTATCTTAATTTGTTCAGATGGAAAACAGAAACACACGATAATATCACTTTTTATTTCAATAGGTGTTCAAAATGTTGTGTGTGTGTGTCAAAAGATTGGCATTGGAAACTGGAGTCCATTTGCCACAAAATGTTGTCAATGGATTTATACTATCTGATCATTGTGAGAGACGGTAAGAAAGAAAGAAAAGGGGTGGATATAAACTGAATAGTTACGAATTCCAGACAAGGTTTATTTTAAAAAGTAATATTTGCCTTTTTAAGGAATTGAATTAGCGCTAAATAAATTTTTATATCCGGAAAGGATAAAATGGTAGTCAGACTTAAAGGTAGTTGGAAGCCAAGTTTAATCATCTGAGCGATTAATTGGTTGGAGATATTGGTGTAGAGATTACAAACAAAAAATATGTGATTTAGATCGGCTATAGAAGATTCATCACAAGCACAATTTGGAGACTCTATTACACCTATTCGATGAAGATGAGCAGGAAAGCAACCATGACCCAATCTCAATCTCGTTATAATTGTGGAGAATCTTCTATTCATATAGAAGAGATCTATGTGGGGAATTATATTGGGAATGGTCGGGTGAATAAGAGCGTAATGATTTCGAGAGTTTACTACAAAGTTGGACCAGATCTAATCCCATCTTTTCTTGATGTTACCTCTGAAGAAAGAATTTAATTTGCTGCCAGGAACCTTTGTGACAATCTTGGGATAGTAAGAATTAATTAATCGATTCAGATTTTACGTCAAAAACGGTCTAGACACTAGCCGAAAGAGTGGAAATGATTCTAATTTATGGTGCATAAAATCAATTTGCTCGGCAAACTGCCGTCACGTTTAACACCAGACATCCGGGGAAGATAACTTCGTATATTTTGGACCTTGTTACTAAATTTACTCAAACTTGATCTGTTACAAATAAAAAACGTGATCATCGTTGAGTTTTTCCGATGAAGCCGCTCTAGTTGAAGTTTTGGGGGTTTTTCTAATAAATCCTAATACTTCATTACGCAAAATTGTTGCTGCGACTGGTATTTCATTAGGCTCTGTTACACACTGTTACTAAACTCCATAAATTTCATCCATTCAAAATAAAAATATTGCAAGAGAACAGAAAATGATCTCGATAGGCGAGTTGTGTTTTGTGAACAAATGACTGCAACGATTAATTATAATACAATTCAAGTAAAGAATATCTTCTTCAGTGATAAATGCACATTTTATCTAAATGGATTTGTTAATAAGGGTATTGAAGCAATGTATATCCTCATGCTTTTGTAGGACATACCTAGTACCTCCAAAAAATTAATGTATGGGCAAGCATTTTAGGAAACAAAGTGATTGGGCCATTGTTTATTAATGGAAATTTGAATGGTGACATTATTTGGATATGTTGGAAAATAGCATCAATCCGTTTATCACTGAAATCACTGAAAATCAAATCTAAGAGGATGGAAACCCTATACTTGATGACGCTGAAATATATTCTCTTCTCACTATTATAGGTTCTTCCGGTTCGGCAATGGCTAGACGATGTGTTTCCAGATAAATGGATGGGACAAAGAGGGTCTATAGAATAGCCTGCTAGAACTCCTGATTTGATGCCATTACTCGTTTTTCTATGGGGCCATTTTCAATCTGTTGTGCTTACTCCGTAACCTGAAATGATGAACAAATTAAGATAAATAAAGATTCTTCTAATTTTCTTGAAAATCAATCGACTGATTGTAAAAAATCAAACGTCAAAATAAAGGACTTCGAAGGACCTTTCAAACAAGCTATTACTCGATACCCCTTGTCATTTAAAATTTTTAAGGGTATGAATCTGAGGAGCAGAGGGTGAAATAGTTTTTGGTTAAAAAGTTGTCCCCCTTGACCAATCTTTTGACGTGTCTCGGCGTTTTTTGTGCTAATCAGTGGTTTTTGATAAATCCGTGGTGGGAACATCCAGTATATAAATAAAATCGACATCAGTTTAAACAAGCTAAGATATTTCCAAATACGACAAAGTGTGTCCTATAAATTTATTTTATTGGCCATAAATGTGCACGGCCAGGTCAGTCGCCCCACCATGTCCCTGTAATCCAACAAAATTTTGACAGAATTGTAACTAGCTACCAAATACGATGGTCTTTATAGAGCACAAACAACTCATGTAGTTAGCCAGGGGTGGCCTACCCCTGATGCAATATTGCTAATTTCTAAAGTTGCTCACAGGAAATATTTCTGCAAGGCCTATTCAATTATCTGAACAAATGTATCCCTATTTGACTGAGAAAATTGGATTATAACAGGATTTCCTACAAAATTTGCTTTATCTACATTTAGTAATTCAAAAATAAATTCAGTTATCCATTATAAATTGAGGTTCCACAATATTTTAACTGGGGATACATCAAATCAGGTAGCTTGATACTTTTATGAGCTACTTGACTTGAAAATAAAATTACTTGAAACGTCCGACTTGACTTGATGTATTTATTGTTCTGGTTGACTGGATGTATTTATTGTTCTGGTTGACTTGAGGTCAAGTATTTTTAAACTTCTTGCTTTTTGATGGGAAATTATATTTTTGTTCTACTAAAGACCAGTGATATTTATTTGTACAACCGGTGAGCCGTATTTTGTATTTTAATTGAAATAATCACGTAGAAAAACGAAAATTGCCATCTCAAATGAGTGTTGGCTATCCAAAAAAACTCAAAATCGGTGTCGTTGAAATTCAAGGACAAAATCAGTTGAAATGAAAAATCAAGGACATCTATGCAAAGTATATTTAAATATGAAAACAAATTAAAATAAAACCTCTTCAAGGAATAAAGAAAACAATTCAACAACTAAGGTAACATGAGAACAAAAAGAACAAAATATAATGTCCAGACACCTTTAGCCCTGTATTATACATCTTATATAAGAGGCGCAACTTAAAAATAATTATTATGATATAGGAGTGTAGTTCAAAATCCTGTCATTTACCATTTCCATTATTTTTCATTTTACCATCATAATAAATCTGTTAGGACCCTCATGTGTCGTAACTCTTCGTTAGCGAATGTAAAGCTAATTTAGAATTTTTTATTTCTTGATTTCTACTTGAACTTACAGTTGAATCGTTTTATTATCTCTTATACGATGAACAAACTATTTTGTTCAATACGTATTGTTCTGTAAACAAAATCTTCCCGTTGTATATTTATAATCTACTCGCATTTCTATTATAAAAATTGACGTAAAAGCTACTTGATATCAGATTGCTAATATCTAATGCTTGACTTGATTTCAAAAAATCATACGTTTAACAGTAGCCTAACTAATTCAGTATGAGCGTCAGAATGTCCACTGCTTGCTAATCTACCAGTACCACTGTTTGAACCTTATCTGTAATTGAAGTTTTTTCCAAAATTTCTAGGAAACGACATCAACAAAATAACCCCAGAAAACTGGCGAGGTCTGGAAAGCTCATTGGAGGTCCTTATACTCTCAGACAACTCAATCAGTCACGTTCCTAGTGACGCCTTCTCCGGGCTACCTCATTTGGATACGATTGACCTCCGGGGAAACAACTTGCGAGAAATCGACCCTTCCGTGTTCAGAGATGGAATGGGGAAATTGGCTAATCTCATTCTCGCAGACAACCAGCTGAGTTCTATTCCTTACCAGGCGTTGCAACCGCTGAAGTCTTTAAAGACGCTGGATCTAGGTTACAACAGGATCAATAAGATGTCTCCAGCTACTGAGCCTGGAGTTAATATAAATCTCAATTTTCAGTTAAATTTGGATATACTCAGATTGGAATATAATCAGTTGAATATTTTGGCGCCGCCGTCTTTTCAGTATTTCAATGTGCTGAATAAGACCTATTTGGATGGGAATCCTATTCATACATTGGAGGTAAGCATCTTTGTGCCGTAGGATAGGCGGACTACCGTTTGATGGGGACGTGTCCCCAAGATAGCAGAAACATTAATTAAACTAGCTCTCATTACACTGATGTGCATATATCGAAGGTTCTCTTACAAAAGGTGGCTTGAAATAGTTCCAGCGAAAATATCCGTTTTTTTTTAAATGGCGTCAAGTAGATTGACTCTGTACTTCTCACGCAATTCTGGGCAAACGGACTTTGAATGCAGCATGTGTAGTATCCAAGTCAACTTGTACACATATTTTTACAGTTCGATGACTACGAAAATCCTTTTAACTTGACCCTAAAGTAGAATCAGTATCAAGCGAAACACAGTATTGTTGATTTAAAAAATGGCATCAAGTAGGTTGCCTCAGTACATCCCACGCAACGATGTCATCAGTTCATAAAGGTTATGTTTGGCATAAGTTAGTCCTTGGTTCTGGAGTTATTGAATTTGGATCAGACCGTCTGCAGGTAAAGGTTATCGCGTGTTTTTGAGCAGCTAGTGTTGTATATCGTTTCTAACAGGTGGGTAATACACAAATTTAAAAATAATAAAAAAAATCTTTCACTGATACTAAATATGCAACACTTATAACCCCCTGCCCCCAAGAGCATCTAGTTCCTATCTCTATCCGCACTGGATCGGTATCCAGAAACTGCACTGTTTTTTTGTCCTTGGAGTATATATTGTTTCAAAATTTCATCAAAGTCTGAGCGGTACTTTTCAAGTTATAGAATGGTCAAGGATTAGCAAATACACATAAAGAGTGACAGACAGACCGACCGAATTTCGTGATGCGCATGTCATGGGATATCAAATAAAAACATTTTCCAAATTTTTCGTGATTACAATACATCCTCGCCACTGGCATGGGAAGTAAATATACGAACGAATGTTTCTGAAAATAATCTACACTGACTAACCAAAAATAGCAGTTTGTATAGTTTTCTAACATAAACTGTCAATCTACTTGACTTTTGATGCAGTAATGAACCCAGAGATTGTAACATATTTTGAAATTTCCTTTAATTTGCAGGAAAATGCCTTCCGACAAGCTAAGATCCGGGAACTTTTTCTTAGAGGCTGCGGACTGACCGAGGTCGAACCTTCCGCATTCTCAGGCTTGGAAAACTACTTGGAACTGTTAGATCTGTCAGGCAACAACATTTCCAACCTTCCTCAAGACATTTTCCATCGCTTTGAATCGCTACGAACATTATCACTCAGAGACAATGTACTGAAAGATCTGAACCCTGTGGAAACATTTATCAGTTTTCAGTTTACTCTTTATGAGTTGGACTTGAGCGGATCAGAAAATATGCCATTCTCGTTACAGGATCTGCGAAGGTACGTATGTAAGTTAAAGCTTTAGGCTCCCTCCTGGCTAATTTAATGTAGCCAAAACGCTTTGAAATGGTATCTATTTGCTCGTATTTAATTGTCATATTACGCATTACCATTCTACGGCACACATTTTTCAAATGAAAGTTAAATTGAGTTAAACCTGTAGATCATTCATTCAGATGCATAAATAGAGATTTCTAAATGCTAGTACAAAGATTACAAGATTATTTGTTAGGATGTTCTAAAAACAGATTGTAACTAGAAGTAAGCGGATATACAAAGTACCTGGACTTATAATTGGGTTATAGATACAAGTATTTTGTTTTAGTAATTGACCTAAATTACGAGGAGTTCGATATATTGACGTAGACGTTGTACGTACATACTTTGTACATGCGTGTATAGCAGTGATCGCCAATCTTTTCAGTGTGTTGAGCTACTTTGATAATATTGCAATAAACAGTGAGCTACCTAATCGTAAGCAATGTAAGCCAACTCAAATGAAATTATGCACAGTTGTATGCGACATACTTGTGTTTATTTTGCTAATACTAATACAATCTAATAAACTTAAATAAACTAGTAACTAATACATACTACACAACTACATGAACTCCTACAAATCGTAGGTGTTTGAGCACTTGTCCCCTACATAACCATTGGACTTCAGCGTGAAGAAGTAGTTCCCCATATTGACAGTCAATTTCATCGGCCAAGGTTTTGAATAATGTTATTTGTAACGTTTGAGCTCTAATCTTGTTCACAACTTTTACTACCAATTTCATAAAGTTGTTTTATTTTGAAAAGAAGAAAACAAGTTTTGCCTAGTAGTGGAATAAACTTCAAAATATCTCCTTTAATCGTAAAATCACTAACAACCATCCTGACGAACACGGCCATCTGAGAGGTGTCAACGACATCTGTGGATTCATCCAGCTGCAGTGAAAAATAAGCACAGCTATCGAAGTCATTTCTTAATTGTAAAACTATATCATTGCTCATTACTTCTACTCGTATCATCACTGTATTAGCAGAAAGTTGTATAGATTTTATAGCAGACACTCTCGCGTCTTTATTTCTAAAGCTGGCAAATGATGACTCTGCAGCCCCTGTTTTATCATTTCCTCGTTTTCATAACCGCGATAGCATTAAATATTTATTAAATGTTTTTAAAAAATGTTTGTTAAATATTTGTAGCGACATATTTTTTAATATTTAATACATATATTTCTTGTAAAATATTCATTATAGATATTTGTAGTATATAAACTCATATATTTTTGCGATATTTTTCCAAATATTTAGAAAATTTAAGTTCGAAAATATATTTTTATATTCTTTTAAGTCGCAGTAAGATAATGCTGTTTTACCATCATGCAACCACATACCGTCTCTACAAACTCAACATCAGCCGACACTTGTAGGACCCTGAGCTGTAGAAAAGATTTTTATACTTACGAAAATCCCCGACAGCATGAAATATTTATTAAATACTTATAAGAAATGTTTGTTAAATATTTGTAGCGACGTTTTTTTTTAATATTTAATAAATACATTTCCTATATATTCATAAAATATTCATTATAGATATTTGTAGTATATATAATTCATATATTTTTGCGATATTTTTTCCAAATATTTAGGAAATATATGAGGAAAGATTTTTAAATATCAATTTTATATTTTGATGAAATATCTAATATTTTTCGTAAATATGTATGGATTTTCAAGCATTAATCTGATACATATTTTCAGTGTATATGGAAAATTCTTCATTGGTTATTTTAACAAAACCTGTAGGAATGCTTATATAAAATTGGGTTTATAAAGAAAATTCATTCTAAATATAATGATTCAATTTGCTAGAGGAATATTATTAAAAAGACATTCTAAGCCTCTTCTGTATCTTGCAAGTCCACTCCTTGAAAAAAAAAAAAAATTACTAATAATGAAGTATTATTGATTACATAAGCTGCTTTCCGGTGTATTTATGGCAATATAAAATGCAGTGGAACAATATTGGTGCTGAGCATGGCGAGTTGCTCCCTGTAGCTCAACTGGGTCACTGAAAAGCAGTTCTATAATGCACCTAAAAGGACCCCACATTTTCTGTCTATGATAGCTCGAGATTTGGTTAATTTTTAAGAAAATCTGGTATGCTATTTTAGATATCTTGTTGAAAAATGTGTATGGGTACAACTTGATCCTTTAATTAACTTTTAAAGAAAATGTTTTTGAAAATAGACCACTTATTGATTTTGTTGAAATGTGAATTTTTTAGCAAGGGAGCTAACTTAGCCATAACTGTTTTGTGATTTTATATTATAATTCAAGGGAGAAAAGTATGGTATTTTCGACTGTAAAAATTTTTGAACGTACTACGACAAAAATAATAATAATTGAGATATTTAAAAAAGCAGTTTTGATGCATCTCGATCAAGTTGCGTTTATATGTCTTTCCATTGGGATGTTACGAACATAATTTTCGTATCCATTCTCAGATGAATCCATCAATACCAAATAACTGTTACATATCAAGGCTAGTTATTTATGGTCTAGTGAATGCCTTTATACTCAGCTGGCACAATAATGTTTACTAGTCAGTTAAATTATGCTATGTAAATAAAATATCGAAAAACTTACACTTTTCCATTTTCCACAAAAAGATACTCAAATAATGAACCACTTGGAGGTACACAGGAAGCACGCTATCATAGTGAAAGTCATACGTAAAATGGATGCCGGCAAACTGGTCGCCTCAGGCCGGCTTGCTATTATCCCATTGGCCGCCCGAGGTCACACGCACATGCGCACTAGCTGAAAAATTTTAATGAATATTTTCTAAATATTGGAGACTCAATATTTTCCATTGATTGAAAAGTAAATATATAATGAATATTGTGAAAGAAATATTGTATTTAAAATATTTAAAAGATATTGAATACATATTTATTAAAAATATTATATTACAAATATTTATTAAATACTTGTTTAAAAAACAAATATTTAAGTAACATAAAAATATTTTTAAATATTAAATAAATATATAATGAATATTTCGTGCTATCGGGGAAGGTTTCTTCTTCTGTGTATATATTAGGGACACCCAAAATGATGCTTCAGTTGCTGCCTTACTTTTGTCGATTGGTTTTAAAAACATTGTCTGTTGTCCAATTAACTGATTTCTTAATTGTTACAGTTTTTCCGTTCTGGTTGCATTTTTTGAAATTGGAATGTATTACATAACAAACATACATGTTTACCTTTAACTTCTGTAAAGAAATATCGTTCTTCCCATTTCGAATGGAAATGTTGTCCTCATTTTCTTACTACTGCTCATAATGTTTTTAATTCTAGGACAACTTTAACCCAACCGCTCGACTTTGTGCCGTTCAGTTTTGAACTAAGCCTTGCGTATTTATTCCGTTCAAAGTAATCGAGATCGTTCTCGAGCAGATCGCTCACCGCAGTGTTGTCGGTGCTTGTGTTTATTATGAGAATTTACAAAATTTACGGAAGCTTCTATGATTTTTACATCATTTTAAAATATGTTGTGAGCCACCACAATTGCCTTTGTGAGCTACCGGTAGCTCGCGATCGACGGGTTGGCGACCACTGGTGTATAGTATAGAATTGTAAGAATTCGATTGCCCTGGGAAGTGTGCACTTGTAGGCTTGAATAAAATTTGTCGCTGCCTCAGGAATAAAGATATTTTTAATGAACACTTGATTTCTTTAATAAATTTATTACTGAAAAAAAAAACGGATAAGAACGTTGACTCCAGCCAAATGGATTTTTAGTGGCGACCTAATGTGTTTTCAAGGGATTATTTTTAAAAACCGAGGCTGGATGTCCTTTCGTATTAAAATCCCTACACATCCTCAGTATCTCTTTAGAAGTTTTATAAATTAGATCTAGTTGAATTCATTAAAGAAAATCTGTAGCTGTGAAACGATCATTTTTACAGATTGAGAGGTCTTCGTACTCTTGCTCTATCACGACTGAAACAACCAACTCTCTCTCCAGATGACTTTTTGGAATTTGGCATCGACTTAGAAGAGTTGAGAATTACATCTGCAGGTTTGCAGACTATAAAAAGCAAGGCTTTTAAATATATTCATGGCCTGCAAAAAGTGGACTTCTCGGACAACATTATTAGTACCCTAGAAAATAATGCGTTTACAGACGTAAGTATAAAATTATCTGTGTTCTTTAATATCTTACATTTTGGAAATGTAAATGTTATATCACACTTGAAGCTCATTACATAAAAATGCTAGATTTTCTTTACAAGCTTCAAGTACAAGCACCTGTAAATATGGTCAAACAATGTTTTGTTCCACATATTACCGACTGTACTTGTAAATAACTACACCCTGGAATTACAAGTGCGGCAATGTTATAATGGCGTTTCGTAAGTATTAGAAATTTTATGGTCAGAGGATTAGGCGACAAAATAACAAAAGCACCTGCATTCGTATAGATAAATCTTAGAAAATCAAGACTGGCTGTACGGTATAATCGTTCCAAAAAAAGACGTGGCAGTGTTTCAGAGATGCTTTTTGCTTTAATTTAAACAAGTTTCTCGTCGTCCAGTAATTGAGCATGTACTGTTGAAGACAACGAGCAACTAGAATTTCCCCAACAATCAGCTCGTACAGTTCGAATAGGAACAAAAGCCACACGAAAATGAGAAGATATCAGAGTCGAAAAAGTAAAGACGAATCTTTAAATATAATACTTTAAGTTGTCATGTATTACATTTTATAAAAAAAAACTGTGAAATGTGCTTTTATTGATTCGGTTAGAAGTTATTAAAAACTGTTTAGTCTCTGCTGGAGTTGTGCAGAGTTAGTCATATTTGATGATTCTGATCTTGACTGTCTTAAGTCCCATATGTTACCATTCCTTGAATTCCAATTATATACTAAAATTAATACTACCAAAAAATCAGTAATTTTTAAATATCTTTTGATCTCCTCTATAAGTGCTGTAAATTTCATCTGACTATTTTTTGTACCCATTATATTATCTTTAATCAGAGTCGCTTATAAGAAATGTATCTGAAAACACACAACACATATTACCACTTGTACTTTCCATCCAACTTGCAAATATGGTATTGTCACCTATTGAATATGGAGTGTTTGAAAGTTACATGGAACACAATATCTCGTATTAGTACAGGTTACAAGCAGATTTACTGGTAATTATTACACCAAACTTTTTGTGAACTGGTCTAAGTTATCACTCAGTGTTAATAGATTTGAATATGGCAATTTGTGAAATGTGCATAACGTGCACCTTATAAAACGTTATTTTTTAGACTTTTCTAAACGATTATTCTTATTCCTACTTATAAGCTGTTCCTCATAATCGCCTATATTGCTTGACCTTGTCTTGATCAGTATAACGTGAAAATTTTTAGATATACTCATGTCAATATGATGTAATTTTTAGGAGCAATCTTATCAATGTGTATTTTTCTTTATTTTTTGTAGATAAGTCACTCCTTAGAGCATCTAAAGCTGGCCCATGGGCTTTCATCATCTGTCTCAAATATTCCAACAGACCCATTGAAGGTATTGGTAAACTTAAAAGGGTTGGATTTGAGTAACAACAGGATAAAAACCATGCCTGATACCTCTTTTCACTTCTTGACAAAACTGCAAAGGCTGGAACTTCAAGATAATATTATAGAAACGGTTTCAAAAGGCACATTCCAGGTATTGTTATATTAGTCATTGTTACCATAAGTTCTTTGTTAGTTTGGTGAATACGTATCATTATCATTACTATCTATTTCGATTTCTATCAGTGTATGTTTTCAGGGTGACATACATGGGGAACTGGAAGAAATATTCTTATCCTACAACAACATTAGAAGTATCGGTCAACATACCTTCGTGCATCTACCTCACCTGCAACAACTTCATTTAGATGATAACAAAATAGAATCCTTGGAAAGACGCGCCTTTATGAACTTGGAACAAATCAAAAGGCTAAACTTGAAAGGAAACAAAATTTCATCAATCTCCTATGAAGCCTTCCAAAACTTGCCGAATTTGGAAGACCTTGATCTCTCATTCAATCAATTAAAAACTTTCGATTTCATGATGCTTGATCAAGTGGGAACTTTGTCCATCTTTAAAGTAAACGCCAGCTACAATAAATTGACTGATTTGATGATTAATGTTCCTCTACAGTTTGAAGGAGGATCTAGTAAGTTGAACTGATTTGGTCATGGTATCGTGTTTTGCATGTGCTCATTTCATACAGATTTGTACCTATACACTTAGAGGGCGGTAGCGTGACTGGCTCCTGATATACAATCGTGCGAGGACGCAGTATTGCTCCTAAACAAAAAGTTTCCAAAGAAAACTATTTATGGATTATCATATATGCTATCTGTAAGCATATTTTTAAAATATTTTACATTTATACAGGGTGTCCTAATGTTGACCCACATATCAAAGTTTCAAATGGAATGCCCCACATGTCAAAGTTTCAAATGGAATGCCCCACTTTTTATTATATATTCAGATAGAGAAGAAGAAGGTTGATATGACATACTTGTGGGTTTTAATAATTAGTTGTTGAGCTATTGGGTATTTTATCTCAAGAAACGTCAATGCTTGATAGTCTACGTTCCTGCAGCTTGATAGCTGGAGTAGTGAATTAAGTGTCAAAAATATTTTACTTTTCTCAGTTTTAGCCTAGTTCCACCATTTTTCGAATTTTTTGAATGATCAGTTCATGGTGGTCAAAAACACAAAATGTACTTTTTCGTAAAAAAAAATGGAACATCCTTATATTTTTGCAGTTCTGGATCCCCATTTTTACGAGGCTTTTTTAATATGAGGTTGATATCAGGTTCTCTAAACAGTTTCTGCGTTATAGCTATTTGATTCAAAAATTGGATATCTCTCTAACAAGTCACATCATCCATGGAAACAAAAAACAAGTAAAAGATGATTGATAATATTTATATAAAATTGTGTTGTGTGTCATTCATTCATAAAATTATTTTTTTGCGATGTCTGAAAATGATAATAGCTCATCAACTAACTATCAAAACCCATAATAAGTATGTTATATCAATCTCTTTCATTTGGAAGTGTATATTAGAATATGTAATAAAAGTGGGGTATGCCATTTTAAAGAATCAACCTTGATATGTGGCTCAAAGTTGGTACACTATATTATTATTATTATTATTATTATTAAACAACAAATTTGAGTTGAGTACAAGTACTATAAACTCAAATACAAAAATAGATAATAGTGGTCAGACAAAAGAAATATAACAATTTGACAATCTTAGCACTTCTGAAGTAGACATATACAGAATGGGAACAATATGTTAAGCACTGCGGTGTCTATCGTAATTGTTTTTGAAACTGTTGACGGATTCCGAGTTCACTACATAAGATGGAAGACTGTTCCATGCATCGAAGACACGGTTTGAGATGAAGCGCTGACGAGTAGAGGTTCTAAAAGCTTCCTTCTGCAATTTGAAGTTATGGCCTCTGAGACTGTTCGTTGCCAGACGAAACAGATGCGACATGTCCACACCAAACAAATTATGCAGTGCTCTGAAAGTGATGATGAGATCTCCTCGTACTCTTCTATCAGCAAAAGCAGGCAGGTTATATAGCTCGAGGCGGTCTTCATAACTTGGCCTACGTGTGCCATATGGCATACGTGTAGCACGACGCTGAACGGTCTCTAATAAGCTGCTATCGCGAACAAGGTTTGAATCCCATACCGGACCAGCAAACTCCAGTAGGGGTCGTACGAAAGTTGTGTACAAAAAGGAGGGGGTACTAACGGTGCAACCGCTAAATGATCTTTCCATCATACATAGCAACCGCTTTGCCTTAGAGGTTATGTTCTGAATGTGCTCCGACCAGGTGAGCCGGCCATTAACTGTCAGACCAAGATCTGTGTGATGAAGAACAGTCTCTAAGGTATGTTTGCCAATCTTATGTGTTAAGTTAGGATTATTCTTTCCCAGGTGGAGAACGTAGCATTTCGATAGATTTAAAGGCAGGAGCCAGAGTTCTGACCACTTTCTGATCAGCTTGAGGTCTTCTTGAAGCACAGATGAGTTCATGACAGTGTTATAGACTTTAGTATCATCTGCATAGATGGAACACATAGAATAAAGTCGGGTGGGAAGGTCGCTTGTATAAAGAAGAATAAGTATTGGCCCTAGCACAGATCCTTGTGGAACTCCACTAGTAACACGATGACTAGAAGAATTGTGAATAATCCAGAAATATACCTCCAGATACCAGACATAATATTACCATGAATACGTTTTTTCGAATAGTTTTTGTTTAGGAGCAATACTCCATCCTCGCGCGGTTGGGACACTCTGTATAAATTTTTGTTGTCCTTTATTTTCCCACGCATTTTGGGGGTACTGTGACGTTTCAATTTCAAATAACATTTTTTATGCTTTGGAACGTGTACAACACGAACCTAAGTTTGTACTACTTACTTTCGTCGCTCTGTTTGTCGATCGTTTATAAGCAGAAAGCAAAACAGTTTCAGATCGTTACCAATGTTTGTTTCTGTATATATTGCAATCCTCTGAAAATCTTTGGGCTCTATAAAAAACGGTTAGACTTAGGTACTCGTATACGATGATATACATAAAATGTATTTAGAACCACTCGTAGATTTCAAAAATTGAATAATATACAGGGTGTTCTATTTAAGATACACAAGTTCGTATCTACTTCCAATACAATCGGATGTGCCAACATTTTTAAAATCTTTCAGTCGAATTGCATTGATCTATAAATCCAAACTTTCATAACTATCTTATCTCAACTTTCTAGTAACTAAGTAAGTTCTAGTTAGTAATCGATTGCTGCAGTTCTACGTGGATTATTTGTGAACAGTTAAACCAAGGACGATTTAAAGATCAGCAGTTCTTCTCACTGAACGTTGAACACCCACGTATTCATCCACCTGCCATTTCTTGAGCGTTTGGAGGTTATCCTTCTGAGTAATATTGAAAACAGTTTGTCTATTTTGCGCAGATTTAGGGGGCGTACACTCCAACATAAGAATTCTGGATCTGTCGCACAACAACATCACGTTAATCTCCAAGCAGTTCTTCAGACCTATCGAGCTGTCTCTGACACATCTCTACCTGTCTCATAACAGTATCTGGAATGCTACGAAAGATGTTTTTGGAAGTATGAGACATTTGCAATGGCTGGATATTTCTAGCAATGGGATGTATGAAATGGATTTTGATATGTTCAGGAATACGAAACGATTACAGGTATAACAGTTATTTATGTATCTGGGGTGTTAAGTGGACGCTTATGGCCCAAGGAGCAGAAAGACCCGGGAATATTCTAAGGGCCAATTTCAGAAGCGCAAAATTGCGCCTAGGGTGCAAGTTTGATCAATCAGAAGGCATTTTTGAAGTAATGGATCTGATTAATAAGGTCGATTTTTCTTAAAATATTTCTCAAACAAGAAAAAAATTATACGATTGGTGTAAGATGGGCAAATAACTCCTGCTCAAACCATGTCTCAAATCTGGTGCAGCATCTAAATTAATCAGCATTTCATTGAAAATAACAGTGCACTATTTACTTCAGGATAATAATTTTGGGAAAAAAGGTTTTGTCATCCATCTCTTCAAGAGCGACAGTGTATTCCTGGTTCTTGCTTTCAAGTTGTCACATCTGGTATGTGTAGTAAAAAGAGGCGTCGACAGGGCGAGAACACCAAGGCACTCGGCGTCGAGCGACACGGCGGTATGGATGGTTCGACCCGCAGGAGCTTCTTAATTGATAAAATTCCTGATAATCTTATGATTTTCCATATTATAACGGTTTATAACATCAGAAAGTGAGATGAACCTCTTTCGGCCTACGTGTGTTTCCAGGCGTGTTGTGCCGAAAAGTTTGGTTAATACACTGCCTCTGTCTCCGCGATATTTATTTATAAGTATTCGAAAATATCATATTTCTAATAAATGTAGTAAGTATGTTAACGTATGCATGTTTCTTTAACTGTGGACAGAAGGCACAGGAAGGTCTGCCAGATTCAACATATTCTCATAAAGACTGAGCATTCTCTAATTTAATGTATACCTTTTCAGAATTCATTAAATAAAATTTTGTACCTAATGAAGTCAAAAAACAACGATCTAATTTGACTAATCTACTACAAATAACATTTCTGATGTATTTATGTTTGGATTTGGTGCTTGTAACTAAACCAGGAAATGTATGAAGACTTTCTTGATTTAGTATGGGAACTAGAGGCCCATCTTACACAAATTCATTCGCTAGCTAGGAATTTTCGAGATATTGGCACTTTTTATAAATCCCTACTCTTTTGCCCCTTTCTGCCTGATGGCTATAAAGAACTTCTAACTTATGTGTTTTTTCTGATCAACCACTAATACTTGGTTGAGACAACTGAGTATACATTTCATTGAAAACTAGCACGGCATGCTAAAGAAAAGAATTATTACATTTTGTTCCAATGTGAAAATCTTTACTAAAGTTTGACTAATTACTGAAAAAAAATGTAACTTAAACATGTTATTGACTATCTAGCTCACACATTCTCTGTTCGGTCGGCAGCCTTATGCCACCACGAGCAAATTTTAGCAGACGTCCTAGTTTTCAATCAAATGAAGACTATTAATGGTATCCCAAAAAAGAATCATAAGTTAGAAGTTCTTTAGAGCCATAACAGGTAAAAAAGGATAAAGAAGTAGGGGTTTTTAGAAAAAACTTAAAAGTGGCAATATCTCGAAAACTAGAAAACTTTCACTAAGGTCATGTTGATTTTGTTTGATTGATCTGAAGTCAATCTACCTCCCGTGTCACTCTGGTGTGTTATTTCTGGGACACCCTGTATATAGACAATTCGTTTTCGTAGCTATACCAGATAATTAATGAAATATTTCCAGATTTAATATGACAATTAGGAGCCCATTTTACACAAATTGTATAATTTTTCTCTACTTTAAGCTATATTTTACAAGAAACCGACTATGTCCATTAGATCCATTGATTCAAATACGGACGTATTTTATGTCGAAATGCAAAATATTATCATCGGCTAAAATAAAGAAATAGAGTGGTTTTTAAATAAACATAAATTGACCGTATTATAGTCTAAGCAAGATGTCTAAAAACAAATACACTGGTAGAATTTCTGTGGCTGCTATATTGGATTCAGCATAGGTTAATTTATATACTGTGCTTCACATAAAAATCTACGATTGGTTACATATCAAGAATAAATATTTATACGTTCAAACAGAAAAAACAAATAACCTGTTAGCACCATATCGCTGGGTGACGGTTGTGGAAGCCGTTGCCTAGCGATAAATAAATGCAGAGGGAATTCTTGTGCTCGATGAGGATAGTCATTGACTAACGTATTCTACCTGGAGGAAGCCAATCATATACTGTATTCCGGCATCAAAAAAGGGACCTGAACGATACCAGTGTCATCATCTATGGTAGAAGGGAAAAATTAATGCAGATATCCACATTCGAAAGAATTTGGTTCTGCTACTGACTCATAGATGGCGCCAGTGTTTTCAATCCCTTCTTGGTGCCCCTATAATACCTATTTTAATTGCATACCTTCAGGTGTTGATTAACGTTTTCCATCTGGAGATACCCAATTAAGATAAGCAATATATTATTAGTAGTAGTAGTAAACAAGCAAACGATCTCGTCCTACCTTGTAAAGAATTTGGTTGGTACACACTCCATGAAATAACCTTTTGGCGAAGAATTTCCATTTATAAGGATAAAGTACGGGTCTGGATACATTGGTGCAGCGGATTTTACAGTTTTCAGTCGTTTTCGGCCATATTTATATAACCTCGGAGTGACGTTAAATTGACAAGTTGACAGTTTGTTCTTCCTGATTTATACTACATAAGAAATTACTATACAGAGTGTCATGACCCGCAAAAAGAAGAAGGAAGAAGAAGAACAACAAGAAAAGCCCGAGAATGAAAAAAACTGCATCACAGATGAAGAAAATCGACCTGATTCGACTAATGTAAAAAAGATATTAGAAGAGAATCGATCCCTGAAGAAAACACTAGCAGAAAACGAGGAAATAATTCGTCAGCTCAATAACGAAAATTTAAAACTAAAAGAGCAGCAACTGTCAGTAACCGCAAGTATTACTGAGAAGGATACCATAGCATCAACATTAAATAGAATTAATATGAGACTCGACGAAGTTGAGAAAAACCAGTTAGTAAAAGAAAATTCATACGCACAAATCTTAAAACAAACGATACCTATTACTAAAAGGCAATCACTGAAATGCATCACAGTTATTCCAAAAGAAAAACAACCTTGCGATAATACGAGAAGAGAATTGAGTAAGAGAATAAATCTTTCATCTCTGAACATTCAAATAGAAAGTGTGAGAAACTCAAAAAATGGCGGAATTGATATAAAAATTAATGAATCAAACCATAATAAACTGAAAGATGAACTTCAAAATAAATTGAATGAAAAATACCAAGTTACTGAGCCGAAAATGTTAAATCCAAAAATTAAAATAATAAATTATAAAAGTAGTGAGAAACCGAATGAAAAGCAAATTGAAGAAGATCTTATACATCAGAATTATATGCCAACTGTGGCAACGGTCACGAAGGAGAAAATTGTAAGCATGCATCAATAGAATGCTGCAACTGTAGATATGGAAATGAAAGATATAAAAAAATAATGATATTAACCACTCACCTACCGACAAAAACTGTCCATCGTACAAATATTATCAGGAACGACAAAACTTAAGGATACTTTTTTAAAATTCAAGTTCATCTTTTACTACTCCTATCTCTAAAGAGGACCTAAAATGTCAGTAAATAAATACATTAATGATTTCCAAATTCCAAGTATTGCAACAAATATAGCACAAGACGTCGATGAACTTAATTTATGTACACAAAATTCTGATGCAAAATTTCGAATTTTTAATATGAACATAAGGAGTATAAAACACAACATTGATTACTTAAAAATACTACTCGACCAAATATGGTACAATTTTGATCTAATAGTTTTAACTGAAACGTGGCAAGTGGTTGATATTTCTTGCTTCAATCAGCAGGGATATGACACGCTGTATAACTTTGGCACTTATAACCAAAACGATGGGGTGATAGTTTTTGTAAGAAATAAACTGCAATATAATCATGATACATTCACTTTCACCGATGGAATCAAAATTTTAAACATAATGATCCAAATTAACCATAACAAAATTGAGGTATCTGCAATTTATCGTCCGCCATGTTCAGAACCCTACGAGTTTTTAAAGAATATCGATTTTTTTTTTCAAAATAAAGTTCATTTAAAGCAACATATTTTCTTGGGAGATGTCAATATAAATATTTTGAACGATGATCCCATCACAAATGAATACTTGAATATCCTATCAAGTAACGGATTTCTGTCCTATATAAACCTACCTACAAGGTCCATAAGTGGCACATGTATAGATCACTGCTTTGTGAAAGACCTATCCAACAAAATTACTTGTATACCAATAATCCTAGAAAGCGATATTACTGACCACTTCTCCACTATTTTACTGATATCTTCAAATGAAAAACATTCTAACATCCCTACCGTTAATAACAACCAAGAAAATTACAAATTTTTTGTCGACAATTCAAAACTAATATCAAATGTCAAACAAGAATCTTGGGAACAATTATACTCTATAAATAATATAGACAAAGCAACGGGACTGTTCATAGAGAAAATAAAAAAACTAATAGATATTAGTACCAATAAAGTAATAATTAGTCACAAAGAGAAAAGCAGAAATGCCTGGATTACCAAAGGATTAATAACATCGGCAATAGAAAAAGAAAGACTATATAATGTAATGAAACTAACGCCAACTACAGAGAATACCGACTGCTACAACCAATATACAAATAAATTTATAGAGCTTGTAAGGCAAACCAAACGAAAACATTGCCTAAATAAATTGAATAATAACTTAAATGATCCTAAGCGGCTTTGGACAACTATTGATCAGATTACTGGGAAAACAAAAGTTAAAGAGTGTGTCACTGAGTTAAATACAACATCGGGAACAGTATTAAAAAATACTCAACAGATATGCGATGAATTTGTACAATTCTTTACTGACATAGGCGAAAATTTAGCAAGTAATATACAAGCAAATGTACAAAATACTCACCCTCCAAAAAGAACTTTGAACTCATTTATTTTGGATAAAGTCGAACAATGTGAAGTATACACCACTGTTATGTCCTTAAAAAATCGGAAAAGTCCTGGGTTCGATGGTATTAAAAGCGAGCATTTGAAAATTATAGCCGAGAACATAACAGAACCACTCACTTACCTAATCAACAAATGCTTTGAATCTGGCATATCCTCAATTTTAAAAAAAGGTAATATAATACCGATACATAAATCAGGAACAAAAACAGATGTTAACAACTATAGACCAATATCAATAATATCCAGTGTAGCAAAGGTTTTTGAAAAAGTTTTATCTACTAGAATGATTCGATACCTCACAAAATTCAAAATTTTAAGTGAAAATCAATATGGATTTACAGAAGGGAAGGCTACATCGGACGCAATAACTAAAATTGTAAATCAAATACATCAGAATATTGATAACAGAATCCCTTCAATCTGCATTTTTGTTGATTTAAAGAAAGCTTTCGACACAGTTAATCACAAATTATTATTAGAAGCATTGGAGAGGATTGGTTTCAGAGGAAACGCGTACTCACTGATCGAAAGTTATTTGTCAAATCGCCCACAATCTGTGCAGATATCAGGATTATTTAGTAAAGAAATGTATATTAAGTGTGGTGTCCCACAGGGAACTGTCTTAGGTCCGCTGTTATTCAATATATATTTAAATGATATTTTCCAAATTAATTGTGTTGGCAAAATTACTACTTTTGCAGATGATACTGCAATATTATATGAAGGCACTGACTGGTCTGATCTGAAAAATGTAATCGAAAATGATTTTATCAAAATTATTCGGTGGTTTAACAGTAGAAAATTAAGCATTAACTACTCTAAAACACATTTTTTACCATTTGGATCTTATGCTAGCCATCTGCCAAATTACACAAATTTCTCCTTCAATATTAATGATCAAAAAATGCAAATTAATAGAGTGCCCAACATAAAATACCTTGGAGTGGTCTTGGATCCTCACTTACGATGGGACATCCATGTCAATTATATTTTAAAGAAAGTTAGATTTGTATCCTACAAAATTAAATACCTTGGGAATATATTGACAGAAAAATATCTTCGAACATTATACCATGCACTGATTGAGCCTAATCTCACATATGGTATATTAGCATGGGGAGCTGCATGTTCCTCACATATCTATAATTTAGATGTTTTTCGAAAAAGTATTCTAAAAATGATATTTAAAAAACCGAAACTTTATCCCACTGAAAAATTATACGCAGATGTTCGAATGTATGATATAAGACAGCTTTATTTCTTACACAGTACCACTCATTACCATAAATTTGTAAACACCGACCAAAAAATTAAACATAATCATTATACCAGGTACAAAATTCGTGGCACAGTAGTTCCTCAACCGCATAAATCTATAAGGCAGCGATCATATCTCTATTTAGCGCCTAAATTTTATGAAATTATACCTAAAGACTTAAAAGATTTACGTTTCGGAAATTGTTTCAAAAGAAATTTAAAAAAGTGGCTACATTCTATATCTAGGACTGAAATTCATAAACTCATAAATACGAACATCAACTAAATACATAATCTACTGTAGCTAATTTTTGTCCTTTTTTGTCATTTGCATTCTACAGTTTCAACTTAAATTATTGGTCCATGTACAGGGCCTGTTTTGATTTTATATTTATTTACTCATATTGTTTGTTATCTTTGTACATTGAGTGAATAAATATTATTATTATTATTATTATTATGAGAAAGGCGTTAAACTTAACTTGACTCTTTTCGAAGTAGATTTATAAATTCACTTTCGTGCCTTGCATTTGTCTCATTGATAGTTATAGTATCTTTCAAATCTCTGTCTGGACGCTAAAATACGGTATATCTCTGGCTATTTTCAGGTAGGATACGTTGATCGTTGACATAGTTCAATTTGAAGATGTCGAACACTACACGTAATTTAGGCTATACAAGTGATTCCCAAAGTGTGACCGCGGGCATAACGGCGCGGCGAAATATTGAACTAAAAGTTTCTGCAAGTTTCTTGGAATTACCAATTCTCGAATTTTTGCACTAACAACCGTGTATGCAGAGAGTCAAAAATTAAAAAAAATCTGACGTATTAAGGGCGCCGCAGAAAAAATCCGGTTATTTAGGAAGCCGCAAGCCGAAAAAGATTGGGAAAATCTGGGCTATATATTCATCATCGTATTCTACCTAAAGATAATCAACCGAATATTATATTAAAAAAACTATCTGACATAAAATGTGGTACCGCAGCGACATCTATGGCAAATTGTCACAGCTATGTTTCTCTGTTCCACACAAATTAGAAACATACTTTGAGTATCATAGGTGGCACTGCAGCCAAATATATAATATATTCTAATAAACTTGGCTATAGCGCCATCTATGGGACACTAATGTCTTCAAAGTAGATTTTTTATTAGTACAGAGGATGTTTTTCCAGCTGTGACAAATTGTTATAGATGACGCTGCGGAACGTGAGCTGAAAAGTAGGACAATGTCCGGAAAACCTATTTATCTTATCGCCAGGTTACAATGAAGTCTTAAAATTGCCCAGATCTTGCTCGAGCTAACTCAGAAAGTTTGTATCAGTATCCTTTTTTAAACTATTCATTATCTTGTGCTTCACAAGATCCTGGCTGAAAGTATTCCTCAAGACTAAACCGTAAAAAAAATGAGAAATTCATAATAGTGTAAAAAGATTTTATAGTTTTTCACCTTAATTTGCGGAAAGTTCCGAATTTTCCATTCCATTTTCGGCCATAAAGAACAATCATACCTATCTTTTTTCCTACAGAGCTCTACGTATATATAATATATAAACTACTTAATTTATATCAACTGCTATCCTTCTATTTCTAGGTGTTGATAGCTTCTCACAATAGAATAGCAGATATACCGAACGACCTCTTCAGATTCCTAAGCTATTTGAGGTTGGTAGACTTTTCACACAACCGACTTCGCTTCCTCCCAGATAGCTTATTTAGAGAGGAAGGACTGGAAAGACTTGATGTTTCCCATAATTTGCTAAGCAAGCTGCCTCTGAATAGCATGTCAGTTGCCGCAGCGATGAGCTTGTGCGAATTGGATTTGTCTTGGAACAGTATTTCGTCTTTGGCTCATGGAGGACTGCTTTCCAGATTCAAGGTAAAGGCATTTTCCAAGAATTGAAAATAAAACCATACCACTAGACGCAGAAATTCTGCTCCAAGCATATAATTATGTACACGTAATCAAGGATTCAAAATATGGTGGATGCGCTCTAGATAACAGCATATCGGTTTTGGCGAATGTGCTACTTAATTCCAGTTTTGTTGAGTTGTGGTGGAAGCGCAACGCATATTGATTGGGATGTGAAGTATTAGGTGAAAATAATAGATCACCTAAAAAATGGCGTTATCCTCCACGCCTTCATTCAAATTCGCAGTCAGAAGGAAACTTGTTCACTTATGTTCACTTAACTACGATGTATCGTATACCTCTATAACTCTAACTATATAAAATAAATTTCAGTTCCAATGGTGGACATATGAGAAAAATGGGTGCCAACTTAATAACAGTCAATAGCCGTAATTTTTAACGGCTCCATAAAGGTTCTGGACATGAGCAGGGATCTCTCAAACGTCAAAATACGATGTCTCAGCGGTTTTTGTTTTTTCGTTCTCATCATAGTAGTGATCTTGTCAAAATCTCATCAAAGAGTACTTTCATAGATTGGCTAACAATTAGGGAACAGATAACAGTCATTCTCCCGGTCAAGTAGCATGCAGGGGTCTCGGCACTACTCGATAACCATATGAACGCAATCTTGCCATATGAACGCATGAGAAGTCCAAAGTGCAAAGAGGTATCATAATTGCGAAATCATTTTCAGTTAACATAATTTTTGCTGTTTAAAAATATCTCCATGTAATGTCAGAAATGAGACTTTTAAAAAATATCAAATTTCGCTTTCACCATTCGTGAGAATTATCGAGTCAATCTACCTGATAACATTTATTTTTCATCCTATCTACGAAAATATGTATGTACTTTGATATCTTGTGTCAACACAGTTTCTTTGTCCTGGTTTTCCTTCTGACAAAATTATTTTAAACGAAACACATCTTTTTACTTCAGTTGGTGCTGATTACAAACATCGATTAAAAGCTGGAGATTCAGGGTGTCCAGTGGGAAAGTTCACATATACGCGAGGAAGTGGAGAGGTCTTGATCGACGTGTTCGGTGTGAAGGCTAAATAGTCACAATGGAACGTTGGACCGGAGCTGAACGTGCTTTTGCTATCGATGCTCACTTTAAGAGTGGTGATTCATATGCAGCTGCCATTCGGAAATTTTGTACACGATACAACATTCGCCGACCAAGAGATGCCCCAAGTAAAAACCTATTGAAAAAGTGGAGTAAAAGGTTCTGTGAAATAGGCTCTATTCTTAGTCAGCCCATTCCTGGCCCTGAACCTACTGTATCAACCGAAGAAAATGTGCGTCCAGTAAGTGATTCGATCATTGCAAATCCTCGGCGTTCTGCACGGAAGCATTCCGCTGCTTTGGGAATCTCAAGGCCAACACTGCATGGCAAAATGAAGAAAAAAATGGGTTTTCATCCTTATGAAATCCAATCAGTCCTTGCTTCCAAGGAAATTGATTACGCATTACGGAAATCTTGTGCTGAAGGGATGTTGAGTCTTTTTGCTACGCAGCGTAGACTCGAGAACGCAGCAAAATTGCAGATATTGGGCACCAACGAACCCAAAAGAGAAATATCAACAACGGCAACATAGTTCGAAGGTGACTGTTTGGCGCGCCATATTCTTTAGCGGTATGATTGTGCCGTATTTCTTTGAAGATGCATTGACAGTCAACTCTCAGCGATACAAGGATATGATTCAAACTTTTTTCGCTACTATTGTAAGAACAGAATGTCGATCTAACAGAAACACATGGTTTCAACAGGATGGGGCCACTTTCCATACATCCAGAGAATTGATGGACCCGGTGAAAGCACTTTTTCCTTTATATCGAAGTTTGGAGACATTCACCGCCCTCCTAGGTCAACCGACCTCACGCCAAGCGATTTTTTTATACCGAAGCAGCCGCGTATGCAGAAGCCTAAATGCCGGAACACCGTGGCTGCTATGTGACCCAAAATAAATTTTGTTAATACGGTTTCTGAACTGCCTAAGGTTAGTAGAACTGGGAAAAGCTTCCTATTGTAGATTATTCCACAATCTTGACACCCTCGGGACAAAGGAGCAGTTATATCGGCGAGTTCTAGATGTACTTAACGTAAGTTCGATACGGTTAGGATGGGATGCCAAAGTCAGGCGGGTCTGTCTGGCAGGCACATCGCGCGGCGGCATCATGGAATAGAGTTCTGAGGAGCAAAGCCCGTTGGTGTAGCGATAGAAAAGAGCTATATCGCCGACGGCCCGCCCATGGCCGGCTGGTGCGAAAGGGTCCAGAGACTGTCTGTTAGAGAGGAGTCATCTATCAGTCGGATCGCCCTCCTCTGGATAGCATCGAGCATAAATCATGTAGTCGATTATTTTTTATGGGGTTACCTAAAGTCAAAAGTATATACCAATAATCTACGAGTACTGGAGGAGCTTAAAGACAACATTCGACGAGAAATAAACAATATCATTCCGGAACTCGGCAAGAGAGTGTTTCAGAATTAATAGAAATAATATTTAAGAAAAATAACCTGCCGAATTTACGAATATGTTGAATAGTAATAAATATTTTCTTTTCATCAAGTTTGTATTTTTTTCTTAAACCAAAAAGTGAATTTTTCCACTGGACGTATAATTGATTCAATAAAAATCGATTGCAAAGAAAATGATATCGATTAACATGAAAATCGGTTCATTTTGAACATTCCTTATGTGTTTGTATGTGTATGTTAAGTAATTGAATAGATTCGATCTAAATTTAAAATAATATCGTATAATTTTGGTCACAAAACAGGTAAACTTGAATGAATAATAAATATCATCGATTTGATATTGTTTTCAGAATCTCAACGTCCTAGATCTGTCATATAATAGACTAGCCCAAATCGACGCTGGAACATTTAAAGGTCTACCAAGACTATCAAACTTGGATCTCAGCCACAATAGTCAACTAGCTTTGGAACACAATGGATTGAGTTTTCAGGGATTGGAATACTCGTTGTTGCATCTGGACTTAGATAATGTTTCTCTCACCATGGTAAGTGTTCACATTTGAAGGGTACCGGGGGAAAACGGCATTAGTCCATTATTTGGCTAAATTGAGCTTTCAGTTTATTTTGGTGGCATTTTCCTGATGCTATCTTGTAATCAGCTTCTTGAATTGTAAAAAGGGCGTAAGTTCACAAAACAATAGCTATAAGATGAAAACGTTGCGCGCCACTACCCACGAACTTGGATCTGATTGTTTTTGTGAACGTTTTCGCTGTTTTACTACTGTTCCTGAACCTGAACCCTGTAGATTGCTTCGTGAATTTAATGAACTGGGAAACAGTAATACACAAAACGCTTATCTTAGTGGTCTTATCACTGTTGTTCCTGTCATGCGTAGACACCCTCGAAAAGATGAAGCAGAGTCAAGGCTTAATAATGCTTCATTTAGTTATCGTGTCCGATTTTTTGAAAATGGAATTATACGTGATGTACCCGGAATTACACATCGTCGAGTTCGGTACATAAGAGGCCCATTAGTTGTAACTGGGAAATCGCCCATCGACATGCGTAGAAAACACTACACACGACTTCACAAACTTTCAGAAAACACAAAACAGAAAGTGACCGAGTTTATTAAGAGCCTCAAATGTCGCAAATCTCATTATTCTTTGGCAGATTCGCAAAAAGTTTACCTACCTGAAAATCTAAATATCGCAAAATTACACAAAATGTATTCTATTGGCCAAGTTGAAAACAAGATTTCCTATGAATCCTTTCGAGAAATCTTTGAAAACAACTTCAATATATCGTTCGGTTATCCACGAAAAGATACTTAGATACACTTACCGCTACCTTAAATTTCCACACGGAACCAACTAGGCAGTCAGCAAGTAATAATTTGGAGAAAAAAACACTTGAGAAGACACTATATCAAACAAGGAGTGAGCGATTTTACAGTCTAAAGAGAACGAGTATAAGCAGCAACTAAATTTCATCAGTTTTAACATCCACATGCTGTCAGGCTCAAATTCTATCTTTTATACCCACGATGAATCTATTGCTAACAAAGGAGCTGACGATGTCTGTTCTATGCTGTATCACTTTTTTTTATAACATTCTGCCTATGGAAGTAAAAGAACCTACCATTTTCTGTGACTCCTGTGCAGGGCAAAATAAAAACTTCACAGTTATTCGGTTTTTGCATTACTTGGTTACCAAGAAAAATCGTTTTACTACTGTGAAAGTAATATTCCCGATTAGGGGGTATTCATACCTCGAGTGTGATAGAGGTATGAGTCTCGTGAACCACTGAGGTACCGGATGACTGGAGAGATGAATTGAAAAATTGCCGTGTGAAACCTACACCATTTGAAGTCATTGATTATGGCAAAAATTTTGATTTTTAAGATTGGAGTACGTTTTTATCGCCGTTTTATCCAACGAAGTGCCCCTTTCCAGCCCGACCAGTCAGGATGCTCAAGTTTTGTAAACAGAATCCTCGCGTAGATTTTCACAAATCGACATAAATGGGCCTGTATGCTAGTTCTAAATTTGATAATAGACGCTTAAAACAGGGGAAAAATGGCACGAGTCCAGAGTTGAAAATCATCTTTCGTTTGTTACGTTACTAGTTTTGATTAAAAGTTCATTTTGTAAAATCTATTTTACCAATAAACACAGTGTTTAGTAAAGAGATTCTTTACGACTTATTTTCTCATCAATTTTCTTTTCAACAAGTAAGTAAACCTTAATTACCGATTTTCTCAAAATCAGTCCGGATATCGTTATTCCCCGGTACCCTTCACTTGAAACATAACAGAATAATGCAGACCTGAAATACTGATGCACACATGTTTTGACTTTCAGGTTCCGTCTCTGCCTACACCAAACCTTGCCACTCTATCATTGGCTCATAATTCTCTCCCGACAGTTCCACCAGAGATGGCTACAAATATGACTAACCTCCAATCTCTGAATCTAAACCACAATGATCTTACTGCTGTTCCTATTGTTACGCATTCTTTACTGGAACTGAGATATTTTTCAATGGCTGCTAATCCAGTAACCTTTTTGAGTAACACTAGTCTACTTGGAGTGGCAGACAGATTGGTAGAGTTGGACATCAGAGATTTCGATTTGAATACTTTAGAGGTAAGCATGACTAGTTTAAGGATAATATTCTACATACCTAATGCCAATAGAATTAATGCATATTTACATGCTTTGAGTTGCAAAAATCTAATGTCATGTTCATAAGAAACGTGTAAGATAGTATCAATTAAAATCTACCAATGCACTAGCTCCTCAGTAACTTTTAAATTAGGCTTGACAGACTTTTGCAGAATACTCGTATACCTAGTTTTCTGATTCCGTAGTTTCAATTTCAAGAACCTTCAAACTGTACTTAGATTAACTAACGTTTGCTAACGTTTTAAAGTTAAATATTTGTTTTCTTAGGCTGGTATATTTTGTAAGATGTACGCCCTGCGCACACTTAAGATGGACTTCTATCGGAGCGTTAAGAACTTCAATATTCCAGCAGTACTGCAGTTCAGTACTGGACTGAAGGAACTAGAGATTCACGTAAGCTTTGCCAATCTTTGAGCAGCATGATACAAACTAGTGCAACGTTTTTCAGGTTGATGAGTCTACAGATACTAATCTAGAAAAAGAAATGGCTGGTGAACTTCCTTCCAAACTGAGGAACATTACTTTCAGTGGGAGAGGCTTGAAAAAACTAGGGAACAACGTCCTACAGGTACTTCCCAATATTCCTTGTTAAATAAGATGTACTCAAAGCTGAATCGTTACATTAACTACCAATTTGATTTAAAACTTCCAAAATACCAAAAATAATTTCATATCTGGAAAATACATGAACATATCGAAACTTTTGGCACTATGCAAGGTAGCTTGGTACACATTTTTGAAGGTTTGTGAAGATTGGTTGTTTGTTTAACGCTATTTTCTAAAAAAAAATTGGAAAAATTCATGGAAAAAGCAAATAGCATAATAGTCATTATTTATCAATTGTTAGAGTATATACAATGATAAAAATACATAAACTCTACCTATAATAACATTGTGAAGGCTCTTACAGCAGCATTATCATTACAGTAACGCTATAGGAAATGTGTATTTGGTTATATTTTCCATGAAGCATCATTGTAAAGTCACTTACAATGTGCCATAATACGTTTGCGCGCATTGATAAACATTGTAAAGGGAAATACAATGTTTTAATAATAACAAATGAGTTGTGGTAGATGCGTAACGTACTTCCTGCGTAAGCTGAGGTGGAATTGTATCGAACGTTTCTATGATCTTACTGCTGTACCATGGCAGTATACAGTTACAATTATACAGGGTGGCGCATCGAAAACGAAACAGACGCATTTACTGGCAGCTCAGTTTTTTTTTTGGAAAAACGCTCAGACCGGTCGATTTTGTTTTCGAGGGGGACACAAGTTTGGCAAAAAATAACGTTAACACGTGCAGCCCCCTGGGCGGGGGTGACAACAACCCTAAAATCTTAAATGGAAAGGGCGGTCAAGCGATACCTTATTTTAAAGGTCTTTCAATTCCCTTTATAATAATGTAAAATACATGAGCTTCAGTTCAGTAGTTTTGAAGATTTATTGATTTAAAGCTTAAAGTAGACTTTAATAGAGACATCAGATTAGTTTGTACTACTTTCAGAAGAAATTTGACTAAAAGAATTTACTTAATAACTTCACTACGCCTATGGTTTGTTTATCATTTTGTTGTTAAAAATAGCTATTGGAGCGTTTTTTGTGGCAAAAAAGTTATTTCTTGAAGAAAGGTAAGGAAATATCTCGTTCTTATTTTAAATAGGAATTTAGTACATACTTTGCGATTGATTTGAGCAAACTTTGTTGCTAAAATGTAACTCTTTATTACATAAATTTACCATGGTATATTCGACAGGAGAAAGAGTTGAAATTATCGAAACATTTTTCGGAAATAATCAGTGCGCTAATAGAACAGCAGAAATATTTAATGAGCGACATGAGAACAGTAACGTGCATCGAAAATATGTTCTAGAACTTGTAGCTAAATTTCGGGAAACTGGGCCAGGCGCCAATAAAAAAACGTTACATTGAAAATCCCATAAGGAACGAAGCAATAGAGGTGGGGGTTTTAGGGAAAGTTTATGTAGATCCTACGTTAAGTGCCCGCAAATTGGAGACTGTGTGTGGTGTTAGTCGACGTACTGTCCAACGGATTCTAAAGGCCCATAGTTTTCATCCGTATAAAATTCACCTGATACAAGAACTTAATGAAGACGTTCTTGATCGGCGATTACAATTTTGTGATATTAGTGAACGAATTATAAACGATGAACATTTTCTATTCAACACTTGCTTTTCCGACGAATGTTCCTTTGTCTTAAATGGCGTAGTAAATCGTCATAGCTGCCGATATTGGTCCGCTTCTAATCCCAGAATTTATCATGAGGTTCAATACACAGCAGCCACAAAAATTAAATGTTTGGGCTGGTATTTTTGGCGATCACTTAGTTGATCCTTTTTTCGTACCTGGAAATTTGACCGGTGAAATGTATTTGGAATTACTGGAAGACGCCATAGATCCTGCACTAACAGGCATAATTGAAAATCAGAATGATCGGCGGTACATTGCGAATAGGTTGATGTTCCAACAGGATGGTGCCCCACCACATTACGCATTACCTGTTCGACAATATCTAGATCAGACGTTTCCAGATCGATGGACTGGTAGAAGAGGTGCCATTGAATGGCCCCTAAGATCGCCAGATTTATCACCTTTGGATTTCTTTATGTGGGGTCATTTAAAAAGCAAAATCTACGCTACTCAGCCAACATCATTAGAGGACCTGCGACAAAGAATTGTGAATGAGTGCCTTCAAATTACTCCTCAAATATTGCAAAATGTGCGGCAACGTTTTGAGCAAAATCTTTATTATTGCATGGAGAGTCATGGTGGCCATTTTCAACATTTACTTGCCTAACGGGTCAGTTCATTCTTCATTTTTAAATTACTTTGTTGCCAAATGTATTGATCTCCACTAATGATGATGTATTAGTTTTATTTAAGCTTTAAATCAATAAATCTTCAAAACTACCGAACTGAAGTACATTAATTTTATATCATTATAAAGAGAATTGAAAGACCTTTAAAATAAGGTATCACTCGACCCCCCTTTCCATTTAAGATTTTGGGGGTGGTGTCAACCCCGCTTAGGGGGCTGCACGCGCTAACGTGATTTTTTGCCAAACTTGTGTCCCCCTCGAAAACAAAATCGACGGGACTGAGGGTTTTTTAAAAAAAACTGAGCTACCAGTAAATGCGTCTGTTTCGTTTTCGATGCGCCACCCTGTATTTAAAATACTTTTTTCTCATCTTTGATACAAATAAATGTTTAAATTGTTATACTAGCTGAAGGTATTAAGATAGAGCTCTATCTGGAATAACTAAAAATCGACCAAATGTCAGTTACAAGATTCTTAGATGCATGTATCGATATACGCTATACAAAAAAATGACTCATTTTATGTATCTATGTTATCTTCAGGGTGTTCGAAGTCCAGTGTTGCATTTTTGCGTAAGGAACACCAGCATTCTGAAAATTCCATCGAACATTTTCCAAAACGCAGGCTGGGCCAAAAATTTGACCGTTGATGTAAGGGATAATGGCGGTTTGCAGACACTCAACAACCCGTCAACTGGCTCTCGTCCAGACTTGTACCGAAGGACGTTTTTGATGGATTTGAAACTTACGGGGAACAGGTGGACCTGCGACTGTAATTTGGGGTAAGTTCGAGGTGGTTAAAGCAAACTCTTTACCTTTGTTGTCGCTTGTACGCAGACCTTGTGGTCTAGGCATATATCCTAATGGCTCTGTTTTGAGCCTAAAACTCATTTGGCAAGTATCTGGACTCAGCTTATCATCAACATACGATACCAGGAAAACACCTATTCAAAAAAATTAATGGAGCAAGACAAAAATCTACATTTTTTGGTGATGTTTGAAAGGCTATATTTTGGAGAAAAATGGTCGTGATTGAGCCGAGAAACTTCAGGAGCAATGGATCTTATGTAATTCTAACAGATAGCACAAGAAAAAAAAATTGCAAAACTTTTCCCATCGTCCGCTGGAATCTTGGTAACCTGTGGTCGCATATGTAATGTAAGGGTATTTCCGAACCATGGATTAAATCTGCTATAAGATTTGATTACAGTATTTGAGGAATTTTGTTTGTTTCCTTAATGTTTTTAGGTTTTTTATACCTCAATGTAGCCTCAATAACCCTGCACGATTGCAGATGAATCCATTGTATGGTTTATCCTCCAACATTTGAAAGAAATCTAAGCAGCACTATTTCAGGCAGCAGCAGTGGCCGCAGTGGTAGACTCTTCGGCCTCCTGATCAGTCGCCGTACGCTGCGCGGGTTCGAATCCCGTCCCAAGAGACACTTTTCTCTTGACTATGGATGTTGTGATTGTCCGTAGGAGGAGCAAAATTTTTGTATCAAAACATCCTGTAATCTGGTTGAAAATCATTTTCTGTTTTGTTGTCTATTAGATATCGGTATCAAGTTGAATTTTGAAAAATCAATTACAAAATCGTATTCTATTATTCATATAATATTAAAAAAATACTGACCAGGGTAGAATCTAAAAAATATTTTTTGGGGGGTCTCAAAGGGGGATTTAGGAATTCGTTGGTCAGGAAAAACCGTACAATGAATCGATCTGTCGTCATGCAGGGTTACTAGAGATAAGTTGAGGTATGAAAAGACCTAAAAACAATAACCTTCTCTTTAGCAAACCCGAAAATGCGGTCGATTTTCCAAAGCAAGTCAAAAAGTAACTTTTTTTACTTTTTTTAAAATCAACACCAAGAAAACAAAAAATGATTTTCTTCTAGGATTGCATTCAAATCTCATACGAGTTATCTTCTAGTTTTTCGACAATACATCAGGACAACATGGTCCTTTTTCATTCAAAGTTAGATATCTCCGCGACAAATAATCGTATCGAGATTTTAAAAATAGGATATTCAAGCTGAATAAACGGGCTATCTGATCCATATAATGGTATAAAAAAAAATCCAAGCCCGAGGACGAAAAAGGAGGCAAATGTTTTGCAAAAAAAATTCTTGCGCTATCTACATTTGCATGAGAACCGCTAAGAAATCTGATAACTAGAATCCTGTAGCTTCAAAATGCTTATTTCAAAGTCTAGATACGACCATGTTTCACCAAAACGCAACTTGTCAAAGAGCACTGCAAATTTGTATATTTTTCTTGTTCCCTCAATATTATTGGGTTGTGTATAATCCAATGCCTACGAGATATACGAGTTGTGTAGTGCTTCTTTGTGCGATATGAAATTAGGAGCTACCATTGCGCCTTATACTGCTCTTAGGTTACATCTGAAGCATATGTACGTGGTGTGGCAAGGAAGTTAAGAGAACTTAGTGACAACCTAGGAATTAGCGATGCTGTGTCATCCGCTAACAACTATCTAGGTATTGAGCACCTACCTTATAAGTTTCAGACAAAAGTTGAACTTAGCACTTTTGGTTCATTTTTCGAAAGTAAGCATCGTGAGGCATATGGTGTATGGAATCGAGCTCATACCACGAACGTGGGTGTTTGAAGGAGTAACGTATCTGTTGTCAGTTCACGTGCCGGCCTATTTGCTCACAATGATCACGTCTAAACTCTGCTTAAGCATTCGTAATTTGTCTTGCAAGTTATACATCAACAAAGAAATATTTAAGTACTTAAGATTTATGGTGTGATCAAAAGCTTTGATCCATTCCTTGTCCATTGCTCAAACGTTTTTTGGAGCAAATTAACATTCCAATATTGACGCACCTATCTTATAGCCCCCAACGATTTTTTTTTTGTTCACAAAGGTGAAACCTCACCCCAAGGGGTGGCCTAAAAGGGATGAAAGAAACTATAATTTTGGTGCTGAACGAGTTGGCTTCTCCAGGAGCAACTTCGGAATAATTCTTCCTTTTCGTATGCTGTATCTGCTTATCGGATGTTAGCAATTTGGCTATCAATACTCTGTTTACGGCAGATATAAAACGTGACTCTGATGTTTGACTCAACCACCGTCACAGGTTATTCATCCAGAACTTTCGATGTCTTCCTGGCCCTCTCTTACCATCAGTCATTCCGTGCATTACGAATTGCAGGATGTACTTTTAAGGATGTTCCATCACAAGTCCGAATTTCCCTTTCCCTCTTCATACGTTCTAGTGCTGTTTCATTTCATACTTTTTATATGTGTATATGCACCTTATACGAATCATTTTTCACAACACAAACGCTTCTAGATATCTTATGGTAGCGTCTGCTTGCATCCAAGATTCTACTCTATACAACTGATCAGACAACACGTAGCATCTAAGAGTTTTTCTGTGAAGCTCCATATTGATATAATGATCACACATTATATTCTTTTCTTTTAATACATTTTACTTGTGTGTGTGTGTGTGTGAGAGTGATCCAGATATCATTCACAACAATTCCCAAATAAGTTATATTATCTGTTCTCATTAGCGATGCTCTATTAACATTAATACCCGTATCGTGATTTCTTGGTGATTCGGGAAATATCCTTCCTACCAGTTTATTGAAGAGTTCTAGCAACCGTTCAATGGTCTCCGCTATAACTATAGTGTCATATAGGTACATACTAGAAGTTATTCATACAAACTTCGTTAACTTTGACTCGTATCCACGATAAATGTTTACACGAAACTTATTAGCCTTGGTCTTTAATTGACTCATTGCTGGAATACAATTGCCACACCACGTGTTTTTCAAAAATGAAAAATCTAGTTTCGGTAAAAAAATTTTATGACTTCAAAATTTTTTTTCAGATGGGTTGAGGTCTGGATGAGAAAGCGGCGTCAGTATATCTGCGAACACAGTCCGCCCATATACGAGTCATCCCCTCATGACTCAGAATATCGCTGCAGACAGACAGATGATGATCTGAGAACTGCATTATGTTCGAACAAAAATAACAACACTGTCATTGATACTCTTAAAACTGATATTGAGTGTGGTTGGAGTTCATCAAAAAATTTGCAAGGATTCGCCTCTGGTATCGTCCTAGTGTTTGTGGTTTTGACAAGATTCGTCTAGGTTGTTAGATTTCAGACACGGGTTTTTCACAATTCGATCACTCGCCATTTTTTAATATTTGTACTAGTTTCTCGTACACGGCTGAATTAAATTTATTTTCCAAGGGTTAGAGGAGTCAATAGAACAAAAATCTGCCCGCTCACCTCTTTTGAAAATTAACTAGGAGCATTAGTCAAATTGAAAAATGAGATTTTCAATTAAATTTATAACAGAAAAGTGTCTTACCTTGGTCTTGCAATACATTGTCGAAGAAATCTCTTTTGTGACGTGGACTCCTTAGTTTTGTAGTTATTCCCCATGTTATAGCCTTTGTTGTCCATAACATGCTTCTTTGTAAATATTATTAAGATAATGGTATTGAGAGGAATGAAGTTATATCAAAGATAGGGGATACTAGTAGGTAAGGTAGATAATTTATTTGATAAGTACATATACAGTCCCTGAGTAACTTATATTTATAATATTTTATGTACATATTTATACAGTTTTATGTCACTTGGTTAATACATTAGCACTTCAATCATATTATACACTCCCCGCCAAAGGTCTCGGTCAAGTTGTAGCAAATCTCAACAATATTAGAATGAATTATAACATAGGAAAACAGTTTATAGACTTACAATAAAATTTAGACGAAAAAGTTTTGGGTAAATATTTCAGTTTTACATCTAAAGGGTAGACTTCGTAGTAATTTCAATTCTACCGGTATTAAGATTATTTGACCTAGAACGCAGGGCAGGCAGTGTATACGATTGCTCGACAGGTTCAGGCCCAGAACAAAGCAACTAAGCATAGGCGAAATTAACTGTAGTGTATACGTAAGACTACAAGTCTTATGATTTATTATCATTTCTATCATAGCCGGTATGTATACTTATGTAACAAATGTTACTCAAAATAGACAGAATACAAATAGAATATTATTTTTATATGATTAATAGGAATAATCATGAAGTAAAATGAGCAAAAGCGATAAGCTGATTTTCAATGCAAACGTTCATAGCTAATACTTTGTCCAGTTTACTGTTAACGCTGCGATAACTGAATGTGGAAGGTATGATTTTTTTTCGTTGCTACTTATTTTGATAATTCGAACAAATGTTTCTAAGACTCCATTCTCTCAATCTTAAAAGTACAATTCAAGACAGACAGAAAAAAGCCGAGAACTTACTGCTTCCTGACAGATGTAGAAGTATACAAGTCTTGCCCGCATCTGTCGTTCTTTCTTCTATGCTTAGTTGCTACTCGGCTGTCAAAGACAGTTATTGGTTTCTATGACTACACAACGCTGTTAAGCTTATACTCCTATGGTAGAAATAAATGTTCCAAAACAAGCAGGTTTAGTTCCTTTTAGTGTTTGCTACAGTAGATTGTTTTCTTTGGCGAAAAAGTATACGTACAGCTAATAAATATATTTACAGAATCTATAATTCATTAGTCAGAAGCTTACCGCTGTATCTGTACATCCATTCATACTACGAGGAAGGGAAAAATCCGGAAGAAAATCATAGTCATTATTAATTATCGTTTTTCTAAGTTCTACATGTAGTCATGACAAATGGCAAGATATGTTCGATTCAGGGCATAAAAACATGATTGCAGAGCTTCGTATGCGAATTCGCGGTTGGTTATGTTTAAAAGCCCTCTTTAAATGTAAAGAAAATTAACGCTAAGAGCAATCGACATGCTTCTTATGTGAAAATATCTATACGAGCATACTCAAGCGTTTAGGTGACTGCTGAGCCATCCATGAGACTAACCTTTTCAAAGTATATACAGGGTGTCCAAATTGAAGGGTAATTTTGTAACTGTAAATAGGTCACGTCATGGCCTACTAGATGGTAAAATTTTGTTTCATATAAGGTCTTATAGTTTTTGAGATTTTCAATATTCATTTTTTTTAAACTGGCTTATTATTCGTTAATCCTATGCCAGTTCTACAAATATCAACTTTTTTGAACCAGGTTTGTTTTAAAACACTCAGAATTAAGCATTTTATTTCTTCCATTTTTCTTTGGAGATTCAAAAAACCCACATAAAAGTCATGCCAAAATTTGAATCATTATTAAAACCCCTTCTCAAGTCTGACTTTAATACCCTCCCTGTAGAATGAAACGATCAAGTTCGACCAGTGTGCCTGTTTTTTTTTAGTTCTATTGCGGTTACAATGGAGGAGGGCCAGTTTTCGTAGATATCAGAACATAACAATACAGTGTCAGAGATTCGCTTCTCCATTCAGCGATCTCAGCTCTTATTACACCTACAGCAAAGGTTAAATGGGGAAGGTTTTAGAGGAAACTTAGCGCATTTGACAGCCGGCTCCAGATTTACGATCGGTCGATTGGTTTTGAAAATATCGGCAAAAAACCGAAAATGTCGAATCTTGTTTTTTGCCTGTAAATCCGAAACGGTTAATTTAACAGCTGTCAACATGTGACACTATTCGGAAATTTTTATAAGGCAAATAAGATAACGTGTATGGCATGTCTCAGTCTTTTTTTGTTTTCCCGCAGCCTGCCTGAGCTTCGAATTTTCTTATGACCGCCATATTGGATATTCCGATTTTTAAGAAGAGCCAGTCTAGTGATGTCTTACAAGTGCATAAATGGTTGGAGAATCATCGAAAGATCATCACACGTAATATCATGTATTAATTTTTTTCTAAGGACGCCTGTATAGGGAAGCGAATCTGGGACACACTGTATATGGGTTGGATACAAAAAAGTGGATAGTATTGATATTAAATTATAATTTACATTTAAGATATCGATGTAATGAGCACCACTGGATGTTATGCATAACCTAAATTTTGTCTTAAAACATTATTTTAACCTATTAAAAAATAACCGCTTGAATGCTCGAGTTTGCCTCAATTGCGTTCTAAGCTTAGTCCAACCTCGCTTATCGCTAAGATGGAACAACAAAGATTCAAACACAAGAATCTTGAAAAGAAACTCAGACCAAAAAAAGCTGATATAAAAATAACTAACAATTCGGATAGCAATTCGAAAAAAAATGAATAGTTTTATGGCGAATTCAATCAAAAACCTGACATTAACTACATTGATTTGGAGGTTGCTAAGCGAAAATTTTTAGGGAAACTTAAAAAAGTGACGACGAGATTTTGCAGATCGAACAAGTCACCAAATCACAGGACTGTACTTTGTCGCGCCTTCAACGGAGGATAAGGTTGACAGCGTCTCGGTTTGGTGAAGTTTGTAGAAGAAGGCAGACAACAAGCTGTAAAGTTCTAGTAAACTCCATCATATACCCAAAAGAGTTTTCTAGTAAGGCAATAAAAAAGGCAATACAAAAATCATTGGACACCGAAGTTCAGTCTTGTAGTTTGTTGCTTTACAAAAACTACCTACCTCTTATTTTGGCGGCATAAAGATATTTTTATGACCCTCATTCAATTGTTACCATGTACCTACCACATGACCCTTGTAAACATAATTGTGTTTACTGACATGAATAAACGAATTTTAATTTGAGTTCTTGAATTTATTTTAGGAAATATATCAAATTATTTGAATACATTTTTTCTTAGTCGGAACGCACCGTCGCGTCGCTTGGACTGGCAGGACGAAACAGTAGACGAATTTCGCCCAAAAACCGATTTGCACTTCACAGCTTACGTTTCATTTTCTATTATTTCCAAATGAAACTCTTGCAGCGTGCTAAAAACAATGTCCACGGAGTGCTAACGAACCACATTTTAGATTTTATCCACTAGGACCTTTTTAAAATATCAAGAAGTTGAGCACAAATGCGCAAAGACATTTTGTAACAAGCTCTGATAGCACCTTAGGAAATTATGTCCTGCTTATATCCAGAAAAACATCACAAACTGCAGAATACAAATTGAAGGTAACGGCGAAATGGGTACATTTCAGAGGTCATGAAATTAAAATGAAAATGCAGGTATAAAATCTACCAAATTATCTTTCTCAAAAACATATTTCCTTGACATATCGATAATTTTAAAGTTCCACGCTAAATTCCCCTATGCTTGACTGTTTTTCAAATCGTGAGCACATTATTCGTCGGATTTTCATTACCTAAATTTCCTGTAATCACTCGGATCAGAAGCTTCGTGTTTCACTGATATCAAAGATGCAACATTTAAAATCACCTTCCCCCAACCTCCACTTTTTAAGCAGTACAACTTTTTTCTGTCAATGATAAGGAACCCCTGTAACGTCAAAAATGGAGTTTCAGCAATTGTTACTTTTTCTTTTTTACCTATAGCACCGTTGTCACTGGACTAAAACTACAAAGCTTTGGCATACTAGTAATCCCGGGTGGAAATTTCATAAAAATGCGAGCGGTTATTGTTGATGAGTGATACAGTTTTTCATAGGACTTAAAAAAACATAACATCTAATTTTAGAAATTTTTCGCGATTACAATACTTCCTCGCTCATGACGTGGGAAGTAAAACGGCTTTAAAATCAAGGAGTATCAGCGATCGCGACTATGAGTACCTATTTGCAGAACGACTTATCTACGCGATATTATATGAAATAAGGCTACCAAATTATCTGAATTAGTCCGCACATTGCGTCGCAACACTTGGGTTGGCAGCACGAAACAGTAGACAAAATTCGTCCAAAATACGATTTGTAGAGGTTTGCGCGCTTCGAAATTGACGCTTTATTTTTTGAAGTTTTTGGATGAAATTTTCATAGAATGCTGAAAACAAAACCCCACAGGGTGCTACAGAGCCACTTTTTCATTTTTTTCACTAGGTTCTTTTTAAAAAAATCGCAAGTTGAACAGAAAAAGTGCGCACTTCAACCAATCATAAAACTTGCGCAAAAACAAAATTTCAAAAAGTGCTCCTATAGCACCCTGGGCAATTATCTTCTCAGCATACTGTATGAATTTCATTCAAAAATATTGAATAATGGAGTGTCAGTTTTGAAGCAGCTGAACCCTTGTAAATGGCTTGAAACTCACTGCGTCGGAGCGGCCTTAAGGCTGTCCCAATCGACATTTTTCAGGTTACAGTGGTTTTATTAACGTTCGTCGAACACACTCAGAAGGCAGGTTACTGAGAAGAGGGATTTTCAGTAGAAGAGGTGACAATGACAGACCTCCGATGGATGTTATGTACTTGAAATGGGAGAAACCCATACAGAAACTAATCTGAAGTCTGAGTTTCTAAAAAAACATCCTCACGTCTGTAAATAAGATAAACACATCTGCTGCAAGATCGTTGTACCTGAATCTACTAACTTTTTTGTTAGGATTGCTTTAGAGAATTTGTAAACCAAGCTGTCCTGACCGCAGTAACAGAAGTGAGTTCCAAAATTGAGGCACTCTTTGGCATCCGAGCGGTTATTTTTTGTAGGTTAATAAAATGGCTTATTGAGACCTTGAATGTAAATTCATTTAACGTCAATCTTTTTATTTTTTTGTATCCAAGCCACAAATTGTTATTTCTGATATCTACGAAAACTGACCCTCTTCCATCATAACTGCAATAATTCAGAAACAACAACAGACGGCGAATAATAAATACTATTTAATAATTTAGTAATAGTTGGCTAATTTTTTGAAAAATTGACACACTGATCGTATTTGATCCTCTTATTTTACAGGGTCTCAGTCAGTTGGAAGTAGGGGTTTTAATAAAAATTCAGGTTTGGCAGTTTGGCATGACCTTTATATGGGTTTTTTGCCACCTCAAAAAAAAATAAATAATGATACTGTACGAGATAAAATGCTTAATTCTGAGTGCTTTAAAACAAACCTGGTCCAAAAAGTTGATATTTGGAGAACCGGCAATAGATTATCTGAATATGTGAGTTCTTTTAGAAGAAAAATGAATTCTGAAAATCTCAAAAACTATAAGACTTTTTATGAAACTAAATTTAACCGCCTAGTAGGTCATAACGTTACTTATCTGTAGTTGCAAGATTATCCTCAATTTCGAGACACCCTGTATAATAAATAGAGAAACGGCTGTGAAAAATTCTCGTATCTTGGATATAGCATTAAGGGTGGGTAGACTATGTTAGTCAATGTCCACACGTCGTTTGATGCTGTACGAACTGATACAACCCTGTTTCCAAAACTTTGATATGCAAGCCTACTCTTTGTTTGAATGAGAAATATTCAACCACTATGAGACTTGAGTGACTATTCTACTTATTGAAGGGCCTTAATAACATGTTGTGAATTGTGAATCTTTCATACCACAATCATAAAATAACACTAGGTCTTCTCTGGATGACATATGACAACAAGAGACGTGGTTACCAAAGTTGCGAGTTTGTCAGTTGATAACTGTTTTACATAATTTATCCTAGGACTCTTGCTTACAATTATGGTAGTCGTTTTACGAAATTTGCTGCCCATACTATTTATAATTTTATCTAGAGTTCTATTTTGACAGTTTCTAGTGTTATAATAACTCCGCTAGAGTAATTGAAACGGAGTTTCGGATCAGCGAAAGTACAATTTTTAATATCAAAAAACACAATTTGAGACTTTGAACGACCTGCGCAATAAATGTCAAGTTTCAAGGGTTTATGTTTGAGTTTCATGAGTATCCATCACGTTTTAACGTCTGCTGAGGTAAACAGCTGATCACCAAGTAACATTTTTCTATTAGTCTGTAACGGTGGCAATAATGAATCGGGTGTAGGTCTAGTAAAACTTGCTTGTAGCGTTTTTTTGTATGCAAATACAAAATGAATCTATCGCGTACAAAAAACAAAATACGGCTCTGTCTACCTGGAGTTGACGGATTCGTCACAATTATGTGCGCTTGTCGATATACGGAATTTTGAAATATTACTAGATAATCAGCTGTCATTCTACTGTAATGGATACTCGTGAAAGAGAAAATAACAGAAACAGCAATATTCCACTCATCAAACAGTACTACGGTCTGCACTTCTCAATATTTTTAGCAGCCAAATCGTTTCCACTTGAACTCTGAACAATATTCACAGCATTACAGTGAGTCTCTACAAACCTATAACGGAACACTTTCGACTTGGACTAGTACCTCAAACTCAAAGTGATTGACTCATCCAACTCAATTGGACTCATTGCCACCTGTAGAGGTCTCACTCTGAACCGCAGCAGTCGACGTCGGAGAATTACTGTTACTAGTGCTCAAAATCGGTTCGGGAGGTATCAGGCCCTCCTTCATCCTCTTTTTCTGCTTCATCCTCCTGTTCTGGAACCAAATCTTCACCTGGGTCTCGTTTAACTGGAGTGCAGAGGCGATCTCAATCCTCCTGGCTCTGGTCAGGTACTTGTTGAAGTGGAACTCCTTCTCGAGTTCTGTGAGTTGCTTGTTGGTGAAGTTGGTGCGGCCTGTGTTCAGGCAGTTCAGCCCCAGGAGGCTGGACGCGTTCGAGCCGAGACAGGAGCTTCGTGCAGCTGGGTTCTGGTGGTCCAAGGTGGAAGGGGCGACCGGAGATCCGGATGCGTAGTCTGAGATCGCTTGAGGTTGTATCTTCGGAGCTGAAAGGGGAGAAAGAGGTTTCAAAATTGTGCGGCACAACAGAACGATGCCAGTGTAGAAATAATTATATAGGACATTCGTAAAGTTGGGACTTTCTTATTCTTGTAAAAATAGAGGTTCATCAGGGGGTTTTTTGTCCCAGAAGGTAGCCCTATTTTATGTTATGAACATATGTATTTTCAACTTTCGTCGAGATTTTTATTGTACGAGCCCCTTCCCACTTCAGTTGGCCCAACTAATGAAATCTTAGTTTTTTTTCTTATCAAACACAAATAATAAAAATGTAGCAGGGTGTTATAGGTTTAAAATATTAACAATGAATATTTTGATAATATATAATAGAAAACACCAACTTTATCACTCCCTAATCAAATTTGCAGCATAAAAATAACAAATGTTGCAATTACAGCATATCAACCTATTTTCATTTCAATGCAAAATAAGCCTACAACGCATAGGTGGCTGTGAAAAATAAAAGCCATGACAATTGTTTTTATTAATCACAGCTGTCAGAATACGTTTAAAATAGTTTTGGGTAGTTAAGGTTTTCAAAATGGGTAGAGGAAAGGTTATTAGTGAGAAAATTCGGTTACTGATAATTAAATTTTTTAATTCTGAGAAATCAAACTCAGAAATTGCAACTTTGTTAGACTTATCGCGATAAAGAGTGAGAAATATTGTTAGAAGATATAACGTAACTGGTTCAGTTGATGTTAAGCCACGATATGTAAAAAAAGTAATATCACAAATGCCGACCGAAGAGCATTAAGAAGAATAATCGTGAAAAACAGGCGTGCCAATTATTTACAATTAAGTGCTCTGTGGAGTGACGCTGTGGGAAGGAGAATTTCGAGGTCCACAACTCATAGAGAGGCCCACAAACTGGGATTTAGCACTTGCAAGGTAAGTTTTTTTATAAAAAAAAGTGAAGTAGAAACCCTAAAGTTGCACAACTTGTTTATAGGCGAAAGAAAAGAAGAAAAGCCACTATTAACTCCACTGCAAAAG